GTTTTGCGGCAAAAGTCCGCTTGGACCTCTGCTGCCAACAGTGCCCAAATTCTCAAAGAGATCGCAGAAGTGCTGAAAAGTTTTCCGTCAAAACAAGGCGTTGTACTCCTTGATTGTGCGCCGGCACACCTGCCACGGCAGGTCATGGCAATGGCACGCAAGTGCAAGCTGCAGCTTGTATATATCCCAGCGCAGACAACGGATTACCTACAGCCGCTTGATCTGCAAGGCTTCTCCCCTTTTAAACAATATTTGAAAAGGAAGCACCAGGAGTTGCGCTCATATTCAGAGCACGGTTTAGTGCCTCCTCTGGCCTGGCTATGGCAGTGCATGCAAGCCCCTCACGAATTTTGGGCAGCTCGGCAATGGCAGAAAAGCTTCGATGCAGTGGGCTGCAATGGCCCAGGTCAAGTGCACAAAGCGCTTCAACACTTGATGGGTGCAGGGGTGCCTTGGCCTGGGCCTGACAGGCCGACACCCCAGCAGATGCAGTGCGTTTGGCCAGCGCGACGCCAAATGGCGCACGCGTATAAGGCTCTTTTTCTTTGATGCTGCCGCTCCGGGTGGATCCAAAAGATTTGCAGACGTGGGTGGCACTAGAGGACAAAGATTTTTTTTCCATAATACTGTGACAGCACAAACCTGCATGATGTGGAGAGATAACCAGCAGTGTTTTTCCATAACAGTGTCATAACACAAACTCACATGATTGGACGGCTCATCATCATTGTTCGGTCTTGCCTGCTCCTCACAGGTCGCCTCTCCTCGATGTTTTTTCCTGGACGCAGCCATATGAATCAAGTCTTGCCGCGCTGACTGCATGCAACAGCAATATAGTTTTTGTTTTTTGCATGAGCCAGACATGAATTTGTATGCTTTGAAATGCCGAGGCCATGCTTTGGCCGCACTCATTAGGTCATCTTCCTTGCTTCCATTCGAATTCAGCTGTATCAGACAGCATTGGTTTGACATGACACGAATGTTTTCAATGAGTCTGCCGACAGATAGTTTTTCTGCGGTCAGTCATGCAGCCGCCCTGTGGTGTGGCCGAAGGCACATCTGATGCCAGGGTGTCAGACTTGAAGGAAGCCTTGGTGCAGAAGGGCAAAGCACTGAAAGCGGCTTGTCGGCAGAATGCCAAAAAACGGAAAAGGTTGCACTGTGCCGGCCTTGGAGTGGCAGCCCGCAAAACTGCGGTAGCTGTTTACATGCTGTCGAATTTTAACATGGATTTGACTCTCCGCATGGCTTGTGCTTTGACAACGATATCCTATGGCAGCAATGGGTACCCCACGGCAGCTTTGATCCAAGAGATGTTGCTGACGACGCCGCTGCCAGATTTGACCGCTTTGGGTGACACAGCTTCACGCAAAGCGCAAGCCTTCCTGGCCGAAGCAGCCACGGAGCAGTGGGTCTATGACTGCAATACGAATCATGGTCAAGCACCTTCTGCGATGGACACGTTTTTGAAGTGGGAGGAGGCCTTCCATGGCCAGAAGCTGGACATGGGTGTGCCAAACAAACGCATGGTCAATAAGTGGGTGCAGCGCTGACGGGCTCGGTGGGGCGTCCGCCGGAAGGTGCTGACGCAAGTTGTTAGCAGAGACCCCGCTGTACTGCGCGACAAGGCGCGGGCCAGCCAACTTACAACATGTTGTCTTCTTTTTTTGGGTTGGGTGGCTCCATTTTTGGGGCCGGAATGTGGCCCCAAAAATGGGTCCCCCTCATGTTTCATGCCTGTATAAGCCTACTTAATCCCGGTTGGGCGGTCCCATTTTTGGGGCCAGAATCTGGCACCAAAAATAGGCCCCCATTTTCAATCAATTTCTTCCCTCGGAATTATATTTGGGGAACCTATATATAATAAGGCTTTGTCTTTCACTTCCTGCAGCGCTTGAGCAGGTCATGACATTTTGGCGGACCATCTGCTATTGCCACAGCAGGTTCGCGGACAGGGAGCTGCTTTTTATAAATCTGGATGAGGCTAGCGTCGGCCACACCATGACACCGCCTATTGGATGTGTGGCAAAGCCACGGACAGCAGATGGCAAACAGCCGCATGCACAGGTGCTGAAGCAACATGTTCGAGCGTGGACTTATGTCAGCGTGATTTGCAACTGCAAGCACATCCAAGGGAAGTTGCCTCATTTTCTCATTGGCACCGCGCTTTGCCACAAACTCGTTTGCGTGTTTTGCGGCAAAAGTCCGCTTGGACCTCTGCTGCCAACAGTGCCCAAATTCTCAAAGAGATCGCAGAAGTGCTGCAAAGTTTTCCGTCAAAACAAGGCGTTGTACTCCTTGATTGTGCGCCGGCGCAACTGCCACGGCAGGTCATGGCAATGGCACGCAAGTGCAAGCTGCAGCTTGTATATATCCCAGCGCAGACAACGGATTACCTACAGCCGCTTGATCTGCAAGGCTTCTCCCCTTTTAACCAATATTTGAAAAGGAAGCACCAGGAGTTGCGCTCATATTCAGAGCATGGTTTAGTGCCTCCTCTGGCCTGGCTATGGCAGTGCATGCAAGCCCCACACGAATTTTGGGCAGCTCGGCAATGGCAGAAAAGCTTCAATGCAGTGGGCTGCAATGGCCCAGGTCAAGTGCACAAAGCGCTTCAACACTTGATGGGTGCAGGGGTGCCTTGGCCTGGGCCTGACAGGCCGACACCCCAGCAGCTGCAGTGCGTTTGGCCAGCGCGACGCCAAATGGCGCACGCGTATAAGGCTCTTTTTCTTTGATGCTGCCGCTCCGGGTGGATCCAAAAGATTTGCAGACGTGGGTGGCACTAGAGGACAAAGATTTTTTTTCCATAATACTATGGGGGTACATGGTACGGGAGCCCCTTTGGCATCACTTTTCAAGCCCCCAGTTTTGGGCCCCCACCGGCCATGTTTTGTCACACTATCTTCCAGTTGTGCAGTTTGAGAAAATTGGCATGGAAGCTGTCCAGACGGCATGGCTTCTGCAGCTAGCACTGCTCACAGCTCGTCGCAGAAAACATAATTTGACTATATCTATAGCCATGTCGTCTGCCGCCGCTGGTATGGAAAGGGATGCTGCGGAAGGTGCTGCTGTAGCCCATGTGCCCGGGATGGATGACCGTATAGCTGCTTTGAAAGCTGAAAGGCAGGCCTTGAAACGCCAGCTGCAGCAAACCAGTCGAGAAGTCAAGGCCCAGGCTGGTTCAATTTCATCCTTGTGTGCCATGTTTGTGTTGGTGAAGCTGTATTGACATTCCATCGTGCCCCTTGCACCTTCATCTTTCCCATCTCAGGTTTTTTTTGGTGAAGCTGCATTGCACCTGCATCGCACCACTTGTACTTTCAATCTTTTTGTTTCAGCTCTGCGCCGGGAGAAAAAACGACGCAGAGTCCTGAAATCGGCGGGCAAACTGAGCACCCAAGACCTCTCGTGGCTCCTGGCCTTCAAAATGACCCGTCAGCAGTAGCAGCTTCTTCAAAACTATATGTCTCACTGAAGCACTTGTGACTGCTGTCTCCCGAGGAGTCAGCAGCAGCTTCCTCAAAACTATATGTCTCACTGAAGCACTTGAGACTGCTGTCTCTAAAGGAGTCAGACAGGAATGTGGTGAAGTCACACGCGGCAGGTTACCTAACGACTGCTGTCTCCCAAGGCATCAAAAACACGTTTTTGCGTGCTTTGGCACCTGTTTTTGCTGTGGCCCCAAAAAACTACTGAGGATACTTCCAACCATTTTCGCAGACTTCGTATTGGCAAGGCAGAGTCACAGCTCATGCACGCATGAAAAACTACTAACCCGTGAAATTGAAATCACAATGGCTTGGACGCAAAACTACTAAGGATTTCTGCCAATTGAAAAGAAATAGAAGAAAGTGTTTCCTTTTTTGTCCATTGAACAATTCCTTAGTAGTTTTGCCACCGAGCCAATACAAAGTTTGAAATTCCCCTTAGTAGTTTTCACACAGAAGCATAGTAGTTTTGCGGCAGAGCCAATATAAAGTTGTGACATCGTGCTTAGTAGCTTCACACGGAAGCATGCTAGTGTTGCAGTGGAGCCAATGCAAAGATTGACATCGCCATTTGAACCTTTTAGCCTTGCAGCTACGATGTGCCAGCTGCAGTGCTGGTCTGTGTTTCTACCTAATTACTAATTCAAAAGCCAACGGCCAGTGAAGCATTTCATCTTGCAGCTGTGATGTGCCACCTGCAGTGACGGCACATGTGTTTCTTCCTAATTCAAAGGGCCTTTCCGGCCACATGTTGGCCCCCCCCTGCACCCCCCGGAATCAAGGTTGACGAAAATGTCTTGCTGTGAAGACCTGACGCTTTGGAAGTTGCCTGCTGCAGTGATTAACACCAGGAAACAACATTGATCCTGGGGGTGCGGGGGGGGAGCCGCTGCTTTGACCCTATACGTGGGGCCTCGTGCTGTGTGTGCAAAAGGTCTGAATTTGGGGTCGCCAACGGACGCTGATTTCAGCCCTCTTCATTGAGGGCCCTCCTTGTATATATATAATATGTATTATATTCATAAGTACTCATATGATTTGATACAGGCATGGTAAATATACCATATTTCATATGTGTGTGCATTTTATACAATAATAATACAAATACACATAATAAGAACATATAGCACATTCATAACATATATCATAATGCCCATATTATATATATGAGTAATTATGGTATGAATATCTCATATTCTCATATATTCTCCATATTATTAGGATACTATTCATGTGTGGTCGTTTAACATTATTATCCACAACATATACCGTACCCCCGATTGCAAGTGGAAAATAATCCTCCAACCCCGGAGGCCCGTATTTGGCAGGGTCTATGTTAATTTGGTGGAGAGTAACATTCATATTATCATATTATTTATATTCATTTTACGGATTATACTGGTGGTATTTATTATTGCTCTTAATATATATATATATAATTTTCATTCTTATCATTCATAACATATTCATCTTTGAAAGTGTCCAACCTTCTTTCAACCGCAACCGTAGGCACAACTCAACGAATCCTCCACGGTGGCTTTGACAAAAACGCGGTGCCCGCGGGGACCTAACGTGCCACAGATGATGGCTTAGAAATGGCTGGTTGGTCAGGTGGCAAAACTATGGGAATACAATAGCTATTGACCCAATTGGTATTTATGGTTATCATAATCACCCATTGATACCCATTGATACCCATTATCCAACAATATGAGTAAGCCAATGATACCCATACATAATCATAAGTGATAATGGGTATCATTGGCTTACTCATTGACCATTAACTATGACAATTGGTGATTATGAGTGGTCAATCGGTATCAATTATTGTTTCGGGAATAACTATGGAAATCACTATGGTTAACGGTTTTTAATGGCTATTCATGGGTAGAAACTATAGCACAACTATGATAATGATTGGGGTAACGGAAATTAAAGTATGGTAGTAACCATGGTAAAAACTAAGTGTTTAGCCTTGGGGGTATGGGATTATGAGTTGGGATTTCACCCCCTACAACTACGGTGTTTTTTTAATCCACAAATAATAATGGAACTGCACCCCCTACGTAACCTCCTGCAAACTAATATATACTGTGTATATATATATATGTGGAAAAACCAGCATTGTAGATCATGTTAATCATGTTCCGGATGGGCAACCATTGTTTTCCCACATCTATTCAAACATTTGCCCCAAAACAACTAACACAACTAAGGTTTATGGTAGATATATCATGATATATCTGAGGCATCTATACTTAGATGGGTTTACAATAGTTTGCTGGTTGGTGGTTTCGATTTTGGTTTATTTTCCATCCTATTTGGGATGATAATAATCCCCATCGACGTTCATATTTTTCATTCGCCAAACCACTTAGATGGGACACCAGCCTCACAGTTCAACATGAACTTCTTTCGGGGTTGATGTCATTTTCCGAGATCAAATTTTGGTAGTTCCGATGCAACTTCACTAATGATATATAATATTATATAACCACCCTCCATACAAGGGTTGCAGTTCCATTAGAAAGTTGGTTATAAGTTGGTTACATAACCATAGTTGTTGGGGTTATATTCCAACTTATGGAGGTTCTGAATATGCCCATTTCCAACCCCAACTGCAACCCCAAGTATTCGTAGCCAAAATGACCTGATTCATTGATGATGAGGCTTTGGGGAACGAAGGGAGCTAGAAGTGGGGATAGAATAGAATCAGCAACAGTCCGAAGACATTTGCGACATTACCTAATGTGGTTGTAAGTGCAATGACTATAGAATGTGCATTTCGGTACAGGATGGGGCCCCCAAGATAGCCAAGTTGCCTCATAAGTGGTTCAACTATGGTTTATGGTAGATATAACTATAGTTAATGTGGGCTATAAGGGTATATAAACCAACTTATAACTGGGGGGCCCCATCCTGTACCGCTTTTCAACTTTTATCGTGCATCTTTCCGATTTTGTCCCTTCTTACATCAATTCTTGGCCTTGATATGCCGCTATGCCACGATCGACACAGCATTCCTGAGGATTTCTGCCGGTTCCCAAAATTCTTGGCATTCTTGTCCCTTCAATCTGCCCTAGATCCCTATGCGGATCTTAGGATGCCGATGATGCTGAGCTGCTCTCCGCCTTGGACGGGAGGGGAGAGGTGAAAGAGGTGTGTGAATAACACATGTGCCTCACGGGGTACCAGTGTTTTGACCTATAGACACATAGGCCTTCAAGCAGCAAAAAAGGTGGTGCAACCAACCCTGAATGGTGATATGAAGGGAATTGAATGATGATGGGCATGGTCATTAAGCACTGCACCACATGTTAACCAGCTGGTAGACCAAACCATAGACAAGTATTTTACCGTTTTGCTATACTGCCAATGGTGAGAGATACCGGCCATGGAGTAGCAAAACCCGTCAATGATGATGGCTAGCAACCAACAAATCATTTGATCTCAAAACTAATTTTCACAACGGGGATAGAACCAATGATGTATAGCGGGGATAGCCTGATTACATCTATTGCGATGTGCAGTCCCCAGAGCCATAAATTTCGACGAAGCCGTTTGTTGTGATGAAATTACCTATCCATCCTTGGCAAAACCCAACAGCAATGGATATACATTCTAGTAAGTTTTCTTACATTTCAGTGAGCCTAATTTAGTTAACTAATTCAATGGCAAGAATCAATCTTTGTCAAAAAGCTGGATTTTGCCAAAGAAGGATCGGTGTGCAACCCACCCACATAGCTTTTGCAAAGATGTGAAGGTTATCCAGATATCAATGGATTGGTTTTGTTGGGAAATTTTTATCCCGAAAGCCCCATATTTCATGGGAAAATCGATGGTTTCCGCTTAAGATTTTCCCAACAAAACCAATCCATTGAAGGAAGGCTTCGAATTTGTGTCTTCCAGGAGAAGCTCCGGGACTTGATTTTCAAGCTGCGCTTGGCTCACAAGCATTCGGAACATTGGCCCATTCGATGGAGGTTGGATTTTCTTTGCGCAGAGGGGTAGCCTCCATTCGATGGAGCCACCATCTGTAGATCGTGTTCAAATTTTCCTAGGGAAACCCATGGATTTCCAATTTCATAAGCCTACAATAGGTGCGAAAAACAGTCGCGAAGTTCTCGAACTCATTGGAGGATCAATCATAAGCCGTCCAGATCTAGCTGTTGATGGACTGGGCTTATCCCACCTGGACCTGGTGAAAACTGGACTGTGAACTGGCGAACTGGAAATCCCCGTCTCAACTTTCAACCAACGAGTATTTCATATCATATCATATAATTATAAATAATTATAATATGTTATATGTCTACATATATATAATATATATATATATGTAATATAATATATATAATATAATATATATAGTATAATATATATAATATATATATAATATAATATATATCATATAATATATATTATATTATATATAATATAATATATATATAATATAATTATATTATATATAATATAATATATATAATATAATACAATTATATATATATAGATATTCATGAATTCACACACTGAATCCCGTTTTCAGACCCCATCAGAATCCCACGAAAAGACGTTGCATCAACATCTCATAGCGAACATGCCATGAGAATCCCACGAACATCCCTTCTGAAAGTCTCATGAAGATCCCATGATTTTGGTGGAGTCCCACGGCTCCTGAGGATTCCTATGTGGTGGCCATCAACCCTCAGGGAGACGCCACTCGTCTCTGCCTTTGGCTGATGTCACCAGGTGCCCCTTCGGGGCCGAAGGGGCCGAAGCCAGGGGGCGAAGCAGGGCTAAGAGGAGACACTGGGGATATGGGGGTGGTCAAAATGGGGAGTGATCTAGGATTTACCCTCTGGCAAAATGATTTCTAGTGGATTTACCCATTAAAAATAGTTATTTTCCATAGCTATGTTAGTTTACCAGAGGGTATGATGGATTTGTGATGGGAATTATGGTCGAATGAAAGGTCCAGAAGCTGGTGAGGAAATGGCCATGGGTGCTAGGGAATGGCCATGGGGCTGGGGAATAGAGAACGGGCATAGGGAAACTCTATTAGCGAAGCAATGACATGAAGTATCAAGAAATAAGAACATCAACTTTCAAGACCCCTGGAATTTCCTGAGAACGCAACATATTTTGTCTGTATGTTTACCCTCTGGTAATCTAACATAGCTATTGAACATGGTGATTTATAGTGGATTTTCCCATTGAAAATGGTGATTTTCCATAGCTACGTTAAATTACCAGAGGGTAATATTAAAACATACTATATCGAGCCGTCCGATTCTAGGGGAACTTGTCAGCTTTTGAACTATGACCATATGATAAATATGAGACGAACCGCTACTATATATTACGAACCATTATTATAGTGATTGCTAACCATTACTGTATTATTAACCGTTAATCGTGGTCTACTATAGTAATAGTGGTTTTCCATATAAAAGCATATTAACCACCATGAACCGCCAGTGGTATTAATAACCCGATAATACTGTTCATAATAGTGGTAATAGTGGTTTCATAGTAATGATAGTGGCTAATAGTGGTTAATTAACCCCTATTCACTATTATTAGCCACTATTATATAACCACTATTAACCACTATTATTAACCACTATTAAACACTATTATTAACCACCATGAACCTATTATTAATAACCATGGTAAGACCACTATTAACCAGTTGGGGAATATTTATGAACCGCTACCAGCTATTAACCACAATTAGTTTCAGTAACGTTAAACAAATTATGAACCAGGCCATTACTACTATTGACCACTATCATTAACCTATCTTAACCATTACTAATATTATTGATCACTATTCTTAACCACTCTTAACCATTACTATTATTATCAACCACTATTAGCCACTATTAACCACCATTATCAACCACTCTTAACCACTACTAATATTATTAACCACTCTTAACCACTATTATTCACCACTCTTAACCATTACTAATATTAACCATTATTAATAGTTATTTACCATTACTCACATTATTAGTATTTATTAGTTATTACTCATTGGTGGCTAATTGGTTAATCGGAAAAAACATATTTTTTAACAATATTACTATCAATCATTATTAACAATTACCAACCATTATTACTATTACTGTCACGACTATTACTTGTATTATTAGCTATTACTCATCTTATTACTCAACCGGATTTAACCTATAAACCTATTTTGGGGGCTTTATCCTGTATTACTATTTAATCAATACTACTATTAACCAGTTGGGGAATATCTATTAAACACTATTACTACTATTAACCACCATTATTAACCATTACTAATTTGGGGGTGGTTGATATTCTTCCAACGTCCGTGGCGCACGTCGCAGGCGTCCTCTTCGAAGTCTTCGCCTCGCAGGCGCACTGCGTCCTGTTGGCCTCGGGGACGCTGGCGCCACTGGGAGCGTTGCAGGCGACGACGGGCCGGGGACACCATGGGCCGGGGAGCTGATGGGTTTCATATGGTTTTTATTTTTATTTTAGATGGTTCTGATGTGTCTTTAGATGTTGTTTAGATTTTGTTTAATGTGTTTAATCATGTTGAATATGGTCTTTAGATGGTTTTCATGTGGTTTTGTGTGGTGTTTCTATGGTTTGCCTATCGCTTTGAGAGTGGGATCGTTCCATGGCAAACATTGGGAGATCATGGGAGGCGGAACTGATGGCTTCAGACACCCTCGCATCCCGCGCCTTACGGGAAGGGCCACTGGAAGCCAGGTGCCTAGGGCTGTGGCAACGTGGCTGTTGGTGCACGGAAGTAGCATCAAAAAAATGGGGGAGAGTGGGATGTTTAGGATGTTTGTAGTGGTTTAAGATGTTTAATTGTTCCAAAATATGGGGTTGTAAACATCGAACATATATCCTATAGGGGTGTAATGGAGAAAAACCAACAATTGATGGGAATATAATGGTATGTAAATGGGGAAACCCAATTGGATGAACAGTGAGGGCAACTTAATATGTTGCTATAAATAGGGAAATTGACCCAAGCAACTAAAAACAAATACAGGCTATCTAAGACTATGAAACTATGAAATGGTTTAATCCAAAAAAAACCAAGTAGTGTATAATTTCCCCGTAGAAATCATGACTTTCCATTGAATCTATTGATTGTGTGCTCCATTGTAAGGGATCTTCAAATTCGCGGGGTAGGCGATTGATGATAAGTTTTGGAATTCAATCATGTGTATATATATATACTGGTTGGTGGTTTCAAACATGACTTTTATTTTCCATTTCATATATGGGATGTCATCCTTCCCATTGACTAATAGTTTTCAAGAGGGTAAAACCACCAACCAGTGTATATATATATTATTATTATAACATTACGATTATTAGTGTTGTTGTTGTTGTTGTTGTTGTTAATTATTATTATTGGCCGTTCTTTATACCTCCCAATTACAAACCTGTGTAAATGTGGTATAGTTTGTTCTTGGATTTACCACACTACCCACTCCGAATGACCGTGCCCATAGAATTGAAGTAAAACATCATATGTTCTGAGATCTTGCACTGTTCATGTTCATTGACCCAGTTGACGATAAAGTCTTAAATTTCAAACGTATTTAAACATATTAGCCCTTCATCACAACAAAGTTTTATCATCCATGTCTATATTATCTGGTTGGTGGTTTGGAGCATGTTTTATTTTCACATATATTGGGAATAACAACCCCAACTGACTTTCATATTTTTCAGAGGGGTAGGTATACCACCAACCAGTTATGTATGAAACCCATTCATCGCACGATGATTTGCCATTTTTTCATTGATTCATATTTGCCGGCCCTTTCCCCAACATGGGGATCATATTTGCGGAGTTGCTGGCGTCCAAATTTGCATCAAAACATCTCAAAAGCCAATAATTATTGTAAGTAAAAACCTTGGCTTCAATCATAAGTTTGGTCTTAAACTTATGTATATCATATATAATTAATGTACATACATACATTTGGGTAAATTATACCGACCCCACTGCGACCTCACTGGAGTCATGGTTAGTAAGGGAAATGATCCCCAAATGGCCGAACTCTTCAGGTTAGCGAAATACTATAATGTACCCAGATATATTGACATATCATGAATTATTAATGTAGACATATCATATATATAATTAATGTATATATATATTATATAAACATATCATGAATTCTGCTTTACTTCTGCCCCAGGCACATCGTTCACCCTTGGCAACTCTTTGCAGCGGTGTTGCCATGTGCTGATCGTTGCAACGCGCCAATCGTCGCACGGCGGAACGGTCGGAACGGGGTTTTGGTCGTCGGGAAAGGGTTTTTTTGCCAAGCTGTTGTGGGTTGATGGGGATATACTAGTTATATGGTTTTCTATGGTTTTATATGGTTTAATATGGTTTCATGGAATATGGAATATTTGGAATATTTGGATTATATGATTATAGATGATTATAGATGCTTATATGATATCCCAACTTATGGAGGTTTAAATCCCATAGTTATACCCATTAACAACCATTAATAGGATGGGCCCCCCCAGTGATGTGAATGTTGGTTTATATACCATAACAAAACCCCCATGAACTAGTTCGTTATATCTACCATAAACCATAGTTAACCCACTTTTTTTTAGGCAACTTAGCTATCTTGGGGGCCCCATCCTGTACTAGTCATATGATTATATATGATTGTATGATAGGGATTCAATGAGGATAATTTCTGGTCTGTGAAGTATTACAATTCATATATCAATTTATCCAGATTACAAGCCTTGCAAAATGGTAAGGTATAAATATAGCCACCATTAGTATCCAATGGAGTATTGTTTAGCCATTAAACATGTGATTGAACCAAAAAGATGCGGAACACCCATGGCTTCCCATCCGGAATTTTCTCGCTCCAAATGGTGGATGTTCCGTGGATGTTAATAGAGGGGTTTGAAGAACCCCCTTTAACAACAGGTTTGTTCAATGATAGATGGTATACCAGCTCCCGGCCCAAACCATTTTTACCAACAGGACATTATTGGATGTTCCACATTTTTCAATGGATTGGTTTAAGGGAACATCTACAGGAAACCATGGTTTTTACCACCAAATATAGGGTTTTCCTGTAAATTTCCCTTAAACCAATTCTATGAATTTTGTTGTATTTTTAGCAGGGTAACTCTCACCATTTTTCGCCCAAACATGGCGGATGCAACTCTCACCATCAAACTGTGGATGATGGCCGTCACCGATGAATTCCCGCCTGCTGCAAGAGCAGTTTGTCATTGCCTGGTACAATGTGAGGCCCCCCGGTTATAAGTTGGTTTATAAGCCCCAGTATCTATAGTTATAAGTACCATAAACCATAGTTATTGGAGTTGTAAACCAATTTAGCTATCTTGGGGGCCTCACATTGTAATGATTGTTTGCTGGGTGTTCATTTGAGGACAACGGTTGTGGCCTCTAGTGTTGTTTGTTGGTTCATGAACACAGCCACCTAGTAAGGTATTGTGGTAAATGTGAAAAGGTTGTATGTTTTAATAATCACCAGAAACTCTCGGCAACCTAGTTATTTTAACCAACTTCGCCAACCATGGGGTACTGGGGTACCATGCACCATTGGGATCTATGCCTTGATACCTAAACAAGGGCTGCAGTTGGCAACTTCGAAGTGTTGGAACTGGTGAAACTACAGGGGAACTGTCCAAAAATCGCTAATACCACACAGTTTTGTGTGTCTATTTTCAAAGGCGAACATGATGATACACTTCGTTTTTAGAGTGCCCTATCAAATAGGACACATCCACACATGGCAGCCATTGGCTTGTTATTTATATCTCCACATGGCAACAACATTCTGGCATTTCTCGATGAGACGGCACTTTCAATGGGAAAATAGGGGAAGATGATGGTTGGGTTTAGGGGTCTTCCCCAAAATCACGCCAACCCAGTTTGTTTCCACGATCTACAATGATATGTCCTTATTTTTTTCTAGGTTTTCCACTATTCGAAACTCTTTTTGGGGTGACTTTTTGAAAATCTTCCGCATTTCTGGAGGTAAGTACCTATGGCAACTGGCAGTCTGAGGGGTTTGTCCAGGCACCGCGGCACCTGTCACCAACTTGGAAACGGGGAGTTGAGACGCCCTAAGGCCCTGGATGCCAGTTTAAGCAGCATATGCTACAGGGAATCAATGCAGTCAAGATTCGAATGCGTGTTGAAAAACATGTTTGATGTTCTATTTTACCCTTTGGTAAACATACAAAAAACTATGGAAAATCATCATTTTTAATGGAGAAATCAACTATTTCGACTGGGCCATTTTTCAATAGCTATAAATTGACACTACCAGAGGGTATCCCTGCTTGAGACGACTGTTCCATATTCCGATGGATATTACGGTGTTCTCCTATGGATCAACGAGCTGGATCCGCTGGCAGATGTCCAGCCATTTGGGATCTAGAATCGAGCAAACTGGTCAATCGGCACCCAAGTTGGATAATAACTGGTTGGTGGTTTGGAACATGAAATTTATGACTTTGCATTCAGTTGGCAATGATGGATTATAGTGGTTTAATGGATTTTCATGGATTTTAATCAATTTTTCCATATATTGGGAATAATCATCCCAACTGACGAAGTCATATTTTTCAGAGGGGTAGGGTTCAACCACCAACCAGATAAAGTCGGAGGAACGACCCCCAGAAACCTGCCAATGCTCCAGATTCCATCATGGAAGTCATCCCAGGTTAGGCCGTTGAATCGTCAATTTTCACTGTTAGATATCCCCCTTTAGCGTTTTCCCTTGCGGATTCAGCCAACCCTCTCATTTCGGTGACTCCTCCAGTAATAAGAGTTGAGTAAGAGATGTTGCTGAGCAAATCTGAACCAACAGCCTGGCCACCTGCCCATCCCAGACAGCCTGGCTCGAGCTGTTGATGGCTTTCGATAGGTTAATATAGCGGCTGATACATGGTGAAACTCACTGGTTTATTGACTTGTAGTGGGGCTATGTGGGGATGATTCAATCCACAATTAAGGATATACCCGCCTACCATCCTGTATAATGGGATGCATGTTTTCTTAAATGCTTCACATGGGAACATGCTGATACAGTTGTGATGGAATGAGGTTCAAAATTTAAGGACAACCCCATTTCCTTTGCACACTTTGAGTTTTGAGCATACTTGTTGATGAAGGAATGATAAGGAATTCATATTCAATATGCAACTGTGTTTGCCCCCTGGGCATGATATCTATGGTCGTAAGGTTTGAAAATCCAACAGGGATTCACCAACCATTGCTGGTTTGACAATGGCGATGACATGTAAGTGTCCATCCGCATAAACGGTTCAACCGCCAACCTGGTAAGCAATGCTTCAACTGGGGTCCCAGCCACGGCCCTGATGGTGGATCTTGAAGATGCGATACTTCAAGTGAACGTGGTATTGCCAAGCGGCTGTAGTGAGAAACTGTCAGTTCCGCAGTCCTCCAAAGTAGGGGACTTGAGAATTCTGGCCCAGAAGACTTTTGGACAAGGATTTCTGAGGCTAATCACCTCAACTGGATATGTCCTGACCGATCCGACGGAATCTCTGGAAAGTGTAGGGCTTCAACAAAAAGACATGCTCAGTGCCATCGTGCAGCAAGCAAACATCACAGCGACACAAGGAGCCTTTGCTGTATGGTGTTGTGGAGGTGACAGGATCGTAACATGGGGCCTTGCAGGTTTCGGTGGTGACAGCTCCACTGTACGAAATCAGCTGAAGAATGTGCAGCGGCTTCAGGCCACAGATAGCGCATTTGCAGCCCTGCTGGGAGATGGATCTGTGGTTACCTGGGGCCGTGCGGACTGGGGTGGTGACAGTTCTGCGGTGCAAAAAAAGCTGAGGAGTGTGCAGCAGGTTTATGCAACAAACTATGCCTTTGCGGCACTCTTGACAGATGGCTCTGCTGCTGAGATTTGCTGAACATGACATGTTTCTTTGGTTTTCCCAAATCCACTATTTTGGGGAATCAGGAATATTTATTGCTTTACCCCCTGGTAATTTAACATAGCTATGGAACATCACCATTTTCAAATATTTCAACAGGTAAATCATTGTAGATCTATAGATTCTATGGCATTCTATAGCTATGTTAAATGACCAGAGGGTGTTTAACATGTTTTACGATCCCCTTTGGTGCAAATTGAGGTTGTAACCTGGGGCGATCCAGATTGTGGCGGTGACAGCTCTGAAGTGTCCGATCAGCTCCAGAATGTAGAGCAGCTTTACGCCACAGCTTCAGCGTTTGAAGCAATCCTGGCGGATGGCTCGGCTGTGAGATGGGGCCAGCCAGGTTGGGGTAAGGATCTGGCTCTGGTCAAGGATGTGCTCAAGGGTGCGCAGCAGATTCAGGCCACAGACAGTGCATTTGCTGCGATCCTGGAAGATGGATCTGTCAGGACTTGGGGCCATCCAGATTTTGGTGGTGACAGCGTTGCAATTCAAGGTCAGCTTAGGAATGTGCAACAGATTCAAAGCACACATGGGGCATTTGCTGCCATCCTAGGAGATGGATCCATTGTCACATGGGGCCTTCCAAGTTATGGTGGAGACATCTCCACAGTCCAAGATCAGCTGAATGTGCAGCAGCTTAAGGCTACTGACCGTGCATTTGCAGCAATTTTGTCAGATGGATCTGTGGTTGCATGGGGCGATCCTGACTGGGGTGGTGACAGTTCTGCGGTAGATCAGCTCAAGAACATCAGGCAACTTGCGGCCACACATGCTGCGTTTGCTGCGATCCTTGACGATGGATCAGTCGTTGCCTGGGGCAATACACAGTACGGTGGTGATAGCATCCCAGTCCAGGATCGCTTTCCATATTTGTAGCGTTTCTGAAGACATCTGCTATCAATGTGTTAAAAAGCCGCAGCTTTCGGCCGGACTTAAGTCTTTGGGGTCAGCTCAAAGTCATTGACCCTTGGATTCGTATGGTTTAAGACTGAACATCTCCGAAATTCAAAGTAATGCGCCTTGGAACCCCAATTAATTTGAGTCGCTATCAGTGAAAATTCTGGGCTGGTCCCAGACTCCAACACTTCCGCTTCGGAACAGCCAGCTGGTGGTTTCACAGATCTCACCTCATCGGGACGGTCCAACTGACGTTCATTTCTTCTGGTGTGACCCTCTAAGAAAAACTATGAAAAAAAATGCGATGTACCCAAACCATCCCAAAGTTATAGAAGAGGATTTGATGACCAATTTTTTTTTGCCCGAGCCATTTTGTGATTGTTTTTCTACCACCAGTACAATAGTAAATCCGTGGATGGCATTGCCCTATTTTCAGACACACCCAGATGAACATACTTAGATACTTCGTGCTTTTTTAATGGGATTTGATGGCATGATGGGACATCTGAATCTGACCAATTTGACAAATGAAAAATCTTTGGGTTGGAAGGGGTGCATCCCCAAATGTGAGTTGAGTTGTCCAGACCCGATTTATACTGTTGGTGATTGACAACCCACTGTGATATCTGATGATATCTCCATGTTTATTGGCAAAAGACTCCCCATGTTCAAGATTTTCTCACGTTTTGGCAAATCCATATTTATTTCATGGATGATACTGGTTCCATTTTTGGATGTTTTACCTATATTATCCTATATTTACCCATTACAAAATGCAAGTTCCCATAGCTATATTAAATAGTGTTAAATGATAGATCTGGAGCTTTGGTCACTGGAAAGATGTTGTGTAAGGCTAGTTTTCTCCCAAAAAAAGAAAGACCAAACTGTTCGGGCTGCTGAAGTAATACATATATATATATTATGTAATGTTTCTTAATATTCCATATGATGTAATATACGTATATATATATATATATATATTTATATTTATATTTATATAATATATACATGTACTATTATTGTCAGTATCATTATTATTTTTATTTTTTCAATTAATCCAGATATATCCAGATGCAAATGAAGGGTTACTATCCAGGGTCTCCACCGGTCTGACCCTTCAGGCCCTAGGAGCAAGCGTTCTGCGGTTGGTTTCATACATCCCTGGTGGGGTGCTGTGCTTTCTGCTCGCGTCTCAGCATGGCGGCTTCAAATCCCAGGAAGGCTCAATGGTATGTAATGGTATGTAATGGTATGTAATGGTATGTAATGGTATGTAATGGTATGTAATGGTATGTAATGGTATGTAATGGTATGTAATGGTATGTAATGGTATGTAATGGTATGTAATTAATGTAATGGAATGTAATGGAATGTAATGGACTGTAATGGAATGTAATGGAATGTAATGGAATGTAATGGAATGTAATGGTATGTAATGGAATGTAATGGAATGTAATGGAATGTAATGGAATGTAACAGAATGTAATGGAATGTAGTGGAATGTAATCAGAAAATCGTCATTTTGAATGGGGAAAATTATGATAATCCATTGGTTGGGGGCATCCTATTTTTCACAAACCCATGGTTGAAAAAACCAACTGGAACCATGGTCAGATAGCCACCAAGAAAAATCTGATACAAGCCTTTACATATCTTACATTTATCAAAGGAAGTTGGGAAGCAATACTTCCGAGTTACGAATGACTTTTACTTGATGGAATTGACTATGATGAAGGGTGGTGTGAGACTTTACACTACATAACAATACATCAGAAAAGAATTGACTTTGATGAAGAGTGGTGTGAGACTTTACACTACACAGCAATACATCAGAAAAGAATTGACTTTGATGAAGGGTGGTGTGAGACTCTGCACTACATAACAATACATCAGCAAAGAATTGACTTTGATGAAGGGTGGTGTGAGACTTTACACTACACAACAATACATCAGAACAGAATTGACTTTGATGAAGGGTGGTGTGAGACTCTGCACTACATAACAATACATCAGCAAAGAATTGACTTTGATGAAGGGTGGTGTGAGACTTTGCACTACATAACAATACATCAGAAAAGAACTGACTTTGATGAAGGGTGGTGTGAGACCTTGCACTGCATAACAATACATCAGAAAAGAATTGACTTTGATGAAGGGTGGTGTGAGACAGAAAAGAATTGACTTTGATGAAGGGTGGTGTGAGACTTCACACTACATAACAATACATCAGAAAAGAATTGACTTTGATGAAGGGTGGTGTGAGACTTTACACTACATAACAATACATCAGAAAAGAATTGACTTTGATGAAGGGTGGTGTGAAACTTTACACTACATAACAATACATCAGAAAAGAATTGACTTTGATGAAGGGTGGGTGTTGCCATGTGCGTAGATGCATGCGGGTTAGCCACGTCACGCTGCAACACGCATTGTAATGGCTGCATGAATGTTGCATGGGCTTTCTTTTGGGGAGGAAGCTGGAGCACGAAACCTTGTGTTTTTCCGTGTAAAGTGGCTTCAGCCGGCGATGAAAGGTACCTCGTGTGTGCGGCGGGTGCGGTTTGGATCGTTTCGAGTTCAATCGGTTCCTCCTCTGTGTTCTGCAACGAGTGGTTGTTCCTGTGTGCGTAGTTCTATGCGTTTCTTGAATCTGTGGTGCAGATCGCATTGGAATGGCTGCATGATTGTTGTCATCTGGTGTTGCCATGTGCGTAGATGCATGCGGGTTGGCCACATCATGCTGCAAAACGCATTGTAATGGCTGCATGAATGTTGCATGGGCCATGGGCTTTCTTTTGGGGAGGAAGCCGGAGCACGAAACCTTGTGTTTTTCTGTGTAAAGTGGTTTCAGCCGGCGATGAAAGGTACCTCGTGTGTGCGGCGGGTGCAGTTTGGATCGTTTCGAGTTCAATCGGTTCCTCCTCTGTGTTCTGCAACGAGTGGTTGTTCCTGTGTGCGTAGTTCTATGCGTTTCTTGAATCTGTGGTGCAGATCGCATTGGAATGGCTGCATGATTGTTGTCATCTGGTGTTGCCATGTGCGTAGATGCATGCGGGTTGGCCACATCATGCTGCAAAACGCATTGTAATGGCTGCATGAATGTTGCATGGGCTTTCTTTTGGGGAGGAAGCTGGAGCACGAAACCTTGTGTTTTTCCGTGTAAAGTGGCTTCAGCCGGCGATGAAAGGTACCTCGTGTGTGCGGCGGGTGCAGTTTGGATCTCGTTTCGAGTTGAATCGGTTCCTCCTCTGTGTTCTGCAACGAGTGGTTGTTCCTGTGTGCGTAGTTCTATGCGTTTCTTGAATCTGTGGTTGCAGATCGCATTGGAATGGCTGCATGATTGTTGTCATCTGGTGTTGCCATGTGCGTAGATGCATGCGGGTTAGCCACATCATGCTGCAAAACGCATTGTAATGGCTGCATGAATGTTGGATGGGCCATGGGCTTTCTTTTGGGGAGGAAGCCGGAGCACGAAACCTTGTGTTTTTCTGTGTAAAGTGGTTTCAGCCGGCGATGAAAGGTACCTCGTGTGTGCGGCGGGTGCGGCTTGGATCGTTTCGAGTTCAATCGGTTCCTCCTCTGTGTTCTGCAACGAGTGGTTGTTCCTGTGTGCGTAGTTCTATGCGTTTCTTGAATCTGTGGTTGCAGATCGCATTGGAATGGCTGCATGATTGTTGTCATCTGGTGTTGCCCATGTGCGTAGATGCATGCGGGTTAGCCACGTCATGCTGTAAAACGCATTGTAATGGCTGCATGAATGTTGCATGGGCTTTCTTTTGGGGAGGAAGCCGGAGCACGAAACCTTGCATTTTTCCGTGTAAAGTGGCTTCAGCCGGCGATGAAAGGTACCTCGTGTGTGCGGCGGGTGCGGTTTGGATCGTTTCGAGTTCCAATCGGTTCCTCCTCTGTGTTCTGCAACGAGTGGTTGTTCCTGTGTGCGTAGTTCTATTCGTTTCTTGAATCTGTGGTTGCAGATCGCATTGGAATGGCTGCATGATTGTTGTCATCTGGTGTTGCCATGTGCGTAGATGCATGCGGGTTAGCCACGTCATGCTGTAAAACGCATTGTAATGGCTGCATGAATGTTGCATGGGCTTTCTTTTGGGGAGGAAGCCGGAGCACGAAACCTTGCGTTTTTCCGTGTAAAGTGGCTTCAGCCGGCGATGAAAGGTACCTCGTCTGTGCGGCGGGTGCGGTTTGGATCGTTTCGAGTTCAATCGGTTCCTCCTCTGTGTTCTGCAACGAGTGGTTGTTCCTGTGTGCGTAGTTCTATGCGTTTCTTGAGTCGGTGGTTGCATATTGCATTGGAATGGCTGCATGATTGTTGTCATCTGGTGTTGCCATATGTGTGGAAAGATGCAGGTTTGCTACGTGATGCTGCGAAACGCATTGTAATGGCTGCATGAATGTTGCATGGGCTTTGTTTTGGGGAGGAAGCCGGAGCACGAAACCTTGTCTTGTCCGTGTAAAGTGGCTTCGGCCGGCGATGACAGGTATACCTCCTGTGTGCGGCGGGTGCGGCTGCGGTCGTTTCATCCGCGAATTCGTTCCTCCTCTGTGTTCTGCAAGGAGTGGTTGTTCCTGTGTGCGTAGTTCTATGCGTTTCTTGAGTCTGTGGTTGCAGATCGCATTGGAATGGCTGCATGATTGTTGTCATCTGGTGTTGCCCTGTGCCTAGATGCATCCGGGTAGTCACGTCATGCTGCAAAACGCATTGGAATGGCTGCATGAATGTTGCAATTTTCCTTTTCAAAATACCTATAAAAAGTGCTTCAAAATCATTTTTGTTTCGCTTTGGCGTCGAGATCCGGTTTTGGAGCTGCAGTTTCCGAGGCCGTTGCGCGTAGTTCTATTGCGTTTTGCAACTCAGTCTCTGCAAATTGCATTGGAATGCTTAAATCAAGGTTGCTTGGTGCCGCGGCTGCATGCGTAATACTATTGTCTTTTGCAGCTGAAGATTGTAAATCGTATTGGAGTGGCTGCATCCAGGTTGCGATAGTGATTTGTCAGCAGATTGTCGCAATTTTGGCGATAGTAATAATTCCTTTTAAAAAGTGCTTCAAAATCGTCTTTTTGTCGCTTTGGCGTCGAGATCCGGTTTTGGAGCTGCAATTTCCGACGCCTTTGTGCAAGCTTTGTAGTACAAAGTAGTATTGGGACGTGCTTTATTTGTGTAAGCTTTGTAGTACAAAGTAGTACTGGGAAGTGCTTTGTGCAAGCTTTGTAGTACAAAGTAGCACTGGGAAGTTAAGCGTGCAAGCTTTGTAGTACGCAGTAGTACTGGGAAGTGCTTTGTGCAAGCTTTGCAGTACAAAGTAGTACTGGGAAGTGTTTTGTGCAAGCTTTGTAGTACAAAGTAGTATACTGGAACGTGTTTTGTACAAGCTTTGTAGTACAAAGTAGTACTGGGGAGTGCTTGTGCAAGCTGTGTACAGCAACACTGCAACAGCTTCGCACAAAGCACGCACGCACAGGCCTGGCTGGCGCACGGCGCATGCAAGTTCAATAGATGAGAAATTATTTATATATATCCCTAAGACAACTTCCGCCCCGCCTCGTGCGGGTACTACTGGTATAATATACATTTATGTTGTACATGAATCCTATATAGGTCCTTCCCCCCCCTTTCATATGTTTCACCCCCACACGAAACCTGTGTTTCATAGAATTGGATGATGGGAAAATTTTAACCGGAAAGCCCAACCAATTTGATGGTAAAAACCCATGGGTTTCCGGTGAAGATTTTCCCAACAAAATCAATGAGTGTTTTTTCTGGGGATGAACCCCAACCACATCGCCAAACCACAGCGGCTCACGGCACCGCTGTTGGTTTGGCTATTGAATGGGGGATAGGGTGCTGACAGGTCGCAGAGGTCGTTTTTTTGCGATTTAACATGGAGGATGATCTCGAAATGAGCATCGCGTGTGCATCCCGGATCTTTTGTCGTCTGCCACGATTCCCAACGAGGCTGTGGAGGACGGTACGGATATCCGGAGCAAAGGTGTAACCAGTGCGAGGCCTGCATGGTGGATTAACTGAATCACCGCATCATTTTTGGCAAAACCGATTTGACGTTGGACGGCATTAAGAAACATGCGTTGTCTGGCAGTCCCCCATTGGGCTCTGCTCATTCTCGTGGGAAAACTTCGGTCTTCACCTACTCCTCTCAGCAGGCAACAGGTGTGGTGTCGGGAACGCAGCGCGTACAAGACACAGTCGCCGCTTGGAGCACGTCCAGAGAAATAGACAGACAGAGGATGACAGAGGCAGAGACAGAGATAAAGACAGAGACAGACAGAAAGATTTAGTGGCTGGAAATGGGCGGGGAGAAGAAGCCGCTGGGGATGAGCGAGCTTGGCTGCGCGGACGGCTGTGGACGGCGTGGGTGCAAGGGGGTGGCTGGAAATGGATGGGGAGAAGAAGGCGTTGGGGATGGGCGAGCTTGGCTGCGCGGACGGCGGACGGCGTGGGTGCAAGGGGGTGGCTGGAAATGGGTGGGGAGGAGAAGCCGCTGGGGATGAGCGAGCTTGGCTGCGCAGACGGCTGCGGACGGCGTGGTTGGAAGGGAGTGGCTGGAAATGGGTGGGGAGAACGGGAATGCAAAATGGTTGCTTGTCGGCTGGCTATGTGCGCATATAGATTAACGGTTAAATAGATGCAAAGGGGTGGGGCTAGGGAATAGGTGGAGACATGGGGTAGGGTGATTTGCTTTTTTGTGTTCTCGCTTGGCGCGTGCATTTTTTGTATCTAATTTATGAAATGGTGTTGCTTTCCCAACAGATCCAAAAGCATCTTCGATGCTTGGGTTCTGATAGTTGGTTAACCGCGTGGGGAGCGAGCTGCTTTGAGGGGTGGTGTGCGGACGGTGTGGGTGCAAGGGAAAGGAAGGGAAAGGAAGGGAACAGAAGGGACAGGAAAGGAAAGGAAGGGAAAGGAAGGGAAAGGAAGGGAAAGGAAGGGAAAGGAAGGGAAAGGAAGGGAAAGGAAGGGAAAGGAAGGGAAAGGAAGGGAAAGGAAGGGAAAGGAAGGGAAAGGAAGGGAAAGGAAGGGAAAGGAAGGGAAAGGGAAAGGAAAGGAAGGGAAAGGCAGAGAAAGGGAGGGAAAGGAAGGGAAAGGAAGGGAAAGGCAGAGAGAAAGGGAAAGGAAGGGAAAGGAAGGGAAAGGAAGGGAAAGGAAGGGAAAGGAAGGGAAAGGAAGGGAAAGGAAGGAAACGGAAGGGAAAGGAAGGGAAAGGAAAGGAGAGGTTGATTTGGAAATCAGCCGCCGTCGCATGACCGTGCTCAAATAAGTTTGCTTGGCTATTGCGCTCCGTCACTCATTTATTCCGTGCGTAGCTGAAAAAAAGCTGCGAGGTTTCCACTGCATGTGTCGGAGGTTGATTTGTAAATCAGCCGCCCTCGCATGATCGTGCTCAAATGAGCTTGCTTGGCTATAGCGCACACCGTCACTCAATGCTTCCGTAAAGAGCTGAAAAAGATGAAATTTGCAGTGAATGCGTCCATAATGTTCATCTTCAAAAAGATGCTGGCAAGAGGCGAAAGGGAAATAAACCAATTACAGTATTACTCAAATATGTTTGCTGTCGTTTTGCTTTTGGGTTCTCAGGCCCCCCCTTGTTTTGCGATTTAACATGGAGGATCATCCCAGTTGGTGGTTGATAACTATGCAAAATCACGATTTATAGTGCATTTTCCCATGAAAAATTGTGATTTTTCCCATGAAACATGGTGATTTATCCACATATATGGTTTGTGGTTTGGAATTTTGGGAAAACCATGGGAAAATGGTGATTTATATAGTAATATAGTAACTATATCTGGTTGATAACTATGCAAAATCACCATTTATAGTGAATTTTCCCATGAAAAAAAGGTGGTTTTCCATAGGGATATATCACCAACAATAAGCAATGTACTGGTTGGTGGTTTGGAACCATGGAATTTTGTGACTTTCCATTCGGTTGGGGATGTCATCATCCCAACTGACGATTCGTCCATCATTTTTCAGAGGGGTAGGTTGAAACCACCAACCAGGTTACTATTAACCATCATTACCCATATAATAACCATGTATTAACCGTTATTAACAGTATATTAACAACATATTGACCATATATTTATGTGGAATAAACTTGACTGTGGAATTATCCCATGAGTTGTCCCAGTTTCTCCGATCACGGAGCGATGTTGTCCCAAGGCCCTCGTACCAAAGTTTGGACTTGGCCCTGCTTTTCTGGCGCCGCAGTGGTCTTTGGCAGGACTTGGCAAAGGCCCGGTCAATGTATACATATATTTATATATATATATATGTATATGGTTATGTATATGTATATATGTATATGTATATATGTATATATGTAAATATGTATATCCGTATATCTGTATATCTGTATATATGTATATATGTATAGATGTATATCTGTATATCTGTATATCTGTATATATGTATATATGTATAGATGTATAGATGTATATATGTATATATGTATAGATGTATAGATGTATAGATGTATAGATGTATATATGTATAGATGTATAGATGTATATATGTATATATGTATATATGTATATATGTATAGATGTATATATGTATAGATGTATAGATGTATATATGTATATATGTATAGATGTATAGATGTATAGATGTATATATGTATATGTATATGTTTTTGATGGTCGTTTTAGCTGTTGTTTAAAAAAACATCCTGCTAGGGCTGATGAGTAGTGGCCAGACACATGGTTTGTTGATGGTTTCATGGTGGATTTATCGTTGCTGGGTCAGCCAGATGGATAGTTACTGGATAGTGAGAGTCCTTTAATGTTTGCTATACATGAGTATCATCCCGCTTAGAAAGTAGTTAATAAACCTAGTTGGTAAGTCTGCGATTCGTGGGGTTATCCAATATATAATAAGTGGGTTATATATATATATATATACATGGATACTGACAGCTCGCTAAGTGAGATGATCCTCCAAGTATAATTCAGGACAAATACAAAAAACCCTACAAAAACATCGCAAACAAACTGGGGCACCTATATAGTTATACACCCAATGTCATTATCCGATCTTCAACCTTGGTTAATACCCAAATGGTCTACACCCTTTAATATTCATGGAGGTTTTTTCAGATTTATCACAAATTACTTTACTTCGTGTGATCCCCACCATGACATTTATACATTTTCTTACTGGCAAATCTTCTGGCATTCTATCTGACATATCTTCTGGCATTCTATCTGGCATATCTTCTGGCATATGTTCTGGCCTATCTTCTGGCATTCTATCTGGCAAATCTTCTGGCATTCTATCTGGCATATCTTCTGGCATATCTTCTGGCATTCTATATGGCAGATCTTCTGGCATTATATCTGGCATATCTTCTGGCATTCTATCTGGCAAATCTTCTGGCATTCTATCTGGCATATCTTCTGGCATATATTCTGACATATCTTCTGGCATTCTATCTCGCAAATCTTCTGGCATATCTTCTGGCATTCTATCTGGCATATCTTCTGGCATATCTTCTGGCATTCTATCTGGCATATCTTGTGGCATATTATCTGGCAAATCTTCTGGCATTCTATCTGGCATATCTTCTGGCATTCTATCTGACATTCTATCTGGCATATCTTCTGGCATTCTATATGGCAGATCTTCTGGCATTATATCTGGCATATCTTCTGGCATTCTATCTGGCATACCTTCTGGCATTCTATCTGGCATATCTCATGGCTACCTTCTGGCATTCTATCTGACATTCCATCTGGCATATCTTCTGGCATTCTATCTGGCCACCTGCAAAGTAAGAAGTGGCATTGCCCCGGTCACTCTACCACACACGCGCGAGTTTGCAAGTAATATATAACATACTTGTCTGACATTTTTTCTAACTTTCTTCTGCACATTCTTTGTCCCATATCTTCCTACATGAGGTCCGGCAGGGAACACTTGGCGTGGATACTCGCGGTTGAGGTCCGGCAGGGAACACTGGGCGTGGATGGTCGTGGTTGAGGTCCGGCAGGGAACACTGGGCGTGGGATGGCCGTGGTTGAGGTCCGGCAGGGAACACTGGGCGGTGATGGTCGTGGTTGAGGTCCGGCAGGGCACACTGGGCGTGGATGGTCGTGGTTGAGGTCCGGCAGGGAGCAGGAGGAGAGGAGACGAGGAGGAGGAGGAGGAGGAGAGGAGGAGGAGATGAGGAGGAGAGGAGGAGAGGAGGAGCAGGCAACTGACATAAAATCTAACAACCCTCACCTGGCAGGTGGGGAAAAAGAATCCCTAGTTATACACCCAGTCGGACTTTATGACACCTTTATACATGGGATATAACTGATATAACCCTCATATCATATCCCATTTCTCGGGGTTAAATGATTTTCAATCCCCGATCAAATCCTTGGGAAAATCCATCCCAACTGACTTTCATATTTTTCAGAGGGGTAGGTATACCACCAACCAGGTTATTATTAACCATCATTAACCATATAATAACCATGTATTAACCATAATTAACAGTATATTAACAACATATTACCCATATATTTATGTTATATTAACCACCATATATGGTTAACCAGTATAATAACCATATATGAACCGACGGTCCGACCCCATGGAGCCAGGTGAAGGTGCTGGTGACGGAACCACGACAGGCTTCAGAGATGCCAGAAGCGGCCAGGCAGTTTATGGCAGGCGCTGGGACTTGGGAGCCCGGGACTGGGGGTTCCCCTTGGGGACCTTGGGGAGTTTCTGGGGACCCGGGACGCCCATTTTTTGGGGATTTGAATGGTGAAAAGCCGGGATATGCCAGGATTTTATGAGATTTTATTGGAAGTTAAGGAATCAGGATAGGAAAAACAACTTATTAGAATTTCAGGAGGATTCGACTTTTCTGATTTTATGTGTGTCGCCTTCTTGGCGTTGGCCTAACTTGTAAATCCTAAAGTGGTATTTCCCTATTGAATAATGGGGGGGAACCCTACCCTGATGTGTCTCAGTACTAAAATGGTCGGGTTTTGAGGAATGTGAGGATACCCCCTTTTGATCCTCATTGGGCGGAAGTTTCCTCTTTGGGTTGGTCTTAACATAGGGTACCCCTAAATCCATTGAACAAATCATCATGTTTTGCATTAAACGTGCCATAAATTGGGGTACATCCATCAGCCATAATAGTTGGTGATATCCCAGTATATCCCCATCAACTCCCGTGAAATTCCATGAAATCCGCATTAAATCACCATCTGAAACGACAACCTACTGTGGATGGAAGAAATCCTGGACTCAGAGGGTTCCTTATTAGGACCAAGACGACTGGGCCAGGCAAACAAGTCAAAGAGACCCCAATATACCAGGCAAGATAGATCTCTCTCACAGGCTATGATTGGATGAGAGTGGGGTTCGATTTGTGGGAGAGTTTCGGTCATAAAGAGAGGGATTATTTCGTCATGAGGACGGACGTATGGAAACGGCGGTCCCAAAGTTTGCCCCCACGGAGAAGGTAGCTTTGTATGTGAGGCAAGTTTTCTTGGGCTTGAGGACACCGACAAAGACGCGGTACCAGCCATGGAAACTTCGAGAAGATGATCAAATGATGGCCCTGGTGGGTGCAATGTACTGGAGGCATTTCATCCCCACTGTGGCTGCTTCCATCGATATAGGGAAGGAGCAGAGAGATTACGTGGGGCGTTGGCCGTTTTCGACATACCCAACTGCGTTTGGAGGGTGCATAACTGTGACCATGCCCAGCGGCAGCGGTCAGAGTCAAGCACCACAAGAGTCTGAGTCTTGGAGGCAAGCACGATTCTTACGAAAAAGGCAAGCTGATGATGCTGCAGCTGATGGTTTATCCATGTTTATCCCATTATTTAATTGCAGGATTTCAAGCATCCTTTTGGTGGCGCAGGATTTCTTCCATCCACAGTAGCTATGGAAAATCACCATTTCATAGCCATGTAAATCAACTATTTCTATGGCCATTTTCCACTTCACAAACTGTAAATTACCAGAGGGTATACAGCATGATTTTGGGATCCATTAAATCCCATTGTTGATGGTTAAACCACCATTTTCCCAACAATTTTCCCTAGTTAAATCACCATTTTCCCTAGTTATATCCCATTGTTGCTTCAGCAAGTGTCGTTTTTTTTTGGCTCACGCAGGTGTGGGAGGCGGTCCTGGGGCGCTCTGCTTCGCAGTATATCGTGGCAAGATGAGCGAAGGCCAATGATGCCAACGGTGCCAACGTGGGCTCCAAGTTATCAGGTCCTGTAAATGAGCCAACTAACATCAGGGGCTCCAGGTCGTTGGCTAAGCTGGTTTAGGCTAAGTTGGTTTACAACTATAATAACCAGGATTTATGATGGATATATCAGATATATCTATTATTCTATAGTTAGATAGGGCTATAAACCAATTGATAACTAGGTGGCACCTTCCGGTAGGTCCACCCAAATATACTGTTGATGGTGCGCCCCCAGTCATGTTTGTTGGTTTGTAAACCCACTTAACTGGTTTGATAAACCCTGGTGCACCACCTTGTGGCTATCTTAAGTCTCCTAAAAAATCTCATGATATTCCCAAAAATGTTTGGCCTTATTGTTGGTTATATTCCAAGGAAATAGTAATTCCCATGATTCACGGCTTTGTCTGAAAATAGGCTTTGTCTAAAAATAGGCTACGTATAAAACCTGGTTTCGTAGTCAGTCTTTTCCCTACTAAAACACCATTGACACTCCAAAAATTGGTGAGTAATCACTATTTCCCCTGCTAAAATGCCCTGGTTGGTGGTTTGGAACATTTTTTATTTTTCCATATTATATGGAAATAATCATCCCAACTGACTAATATTTTTCAGAGGTGTTGAAACCACCAACCAGCTATAGATGGGCACCATTTTCAGACCCAAATACCCTCTGGTAAACATACAAAAAACTATGGAAAATGGTCCATTTATAGTTGATTTACCTATTAACAATGGTGATTTTCCATAGTCTCCATAGTTTGTCATAAAAAATCACCATTGTTAATAAGTAAATCAACTATTTCTATGGGCCATTTTCCATCGTTTTTTCTATGACCAGAGGGTATTCCCTCAGACGTCGCGTTCAGGCTTGGACTTCGCGGACGACTTGTGTCGAGCGGTGATTTGCATCGGGGTTCCGTACCCCCAGATGAGCCCTGGCGGGTTAGCCGATGAAAAACAGTCCTATGTAAAAAGATAGATAGATATATTAAGAATCATTAAGATAGATATAAGAACTGGATTAGAACTGTTGTTTTTGTGGCTGAATTCTATGGTTTATGGTATATAAACCAACAAACATCACTGGGGGGGCCCATCCTGTAGACAGATAGATATATTATTATACTATGATATATATTCATGGCAATGTAAGAAATGTTACTTGGAATCTGACATAGTTCATCTGACATTTGTAGGTTTTTGATCATCAATAAGGTGATGATACAATTGATAGATCGTGATTGGTTGATGATTACAGGGCTTATACTGCCTATAGTTATGATTACTCTAACCCAGTATGGGAACCCCTCTGAACCAGCCCAAATAATGCGATGATACCAATAAAGAGCAGCAAGGGGTCACAATCAAGTTATCAATAGCTGCAAATTTTTTCCCAATATTGTGTTGCGCATGTGTTGCATGGAAAGATGTGAAATGCGTATCTTTCAAACTGTTTACAACAAAGCTGTGCTAACAAATATCTAATCATATGGTTTGAAACAAATCTGCAGCAAGTATGGGTCTGAAAATCCGACTCTCAACAAAGTCTCGGTAGAACAGAGGGCTTTTTGAGAATTTTGCTCGGAAAATCATGTTCGGAAAGCATTGCTTCCAACCGTCTGACAAATGAATTCTCTGACAATTCTTCCGTTGCAAAAGATGTTGCAGGAACAAATGTAACATAATTGAACTTATATTGCAGTAAATTCCAAGAACGGCAAGTTTTTCTGTAGTTCAGATGGAGGAGGGGGCAGTGACCAAGATTAGTTCGGGGATTATATAACCTTGTACATTGGGGTCTACTCTAATCCCTGCGGAATCTTTTTGCCACTGACGCCCTGGTTACATGATTACGTCACTTTGTGGTCCCGAACTGAACTTATTTTTTAAAAGAGGGAGCAACACAAATAGGAACAATAAAGGAAATTCCAATGATATTTCTATATATTATCTGGTAAACGTTTACATAATTATGGAAAATCACCATCCTTCATGGGAAAATCCACTATAAATCACAATTTTCCATAGCTATGTTAATTTACCAGAGAGTATATATGATGTTGATTGGGGGATTTTATGAGCGCTAAGAAGGGAGTACGCTTGCTACAACGTTTGCACCAACACAAGTGTTTTTTTTGTGACTTGAATCAAACAGAATCAAACTGGAAAGGAGCTTGCTAAATCCAATCTGGAGATTCAACAGACTGATGTTTGTCATCTGTGAATTTGCTTCCCACAGTTTTTTCAACACTACTGGAAGTATCATCCCGATTGAGACACATATTTTTCGACATTTAAACCCACCAATCAGCCCAACGACACGACCTAAACCCACTATGATTTGGAATCTACTGGGAATGGGCTAGCTAGGTTTAACTGTTTTGGGACCCTTTAGGCGAATCCAGCGTGGGTTTAGAATTTCAAGCTTTGCTTTTCATTCAAATAGAATCTGTTTAAGGATGTGTTATATAGTTAAGTGTGTCTTTTTAAACCGGGTAATTCCCGAGAGCGCCTGCGAAGGGTTCTTCGTAAAAAAGCAGCCGTTATACTACATCTTCACACCTTCACACCTGCAGATCTAGATCTTCACACCCTCACATCTGCTGATCTAGATCTTACACCCTCACATCTGCTGATCTACGTCTTCATACCTTCACACCTGCAGATCTAGATCTTCACACCCTCACATCTGCAGATCTAGATCTTCACACCCTCACATCTGCTGATCTACATCTTCACACCTTCACACCTGCAGACCTAGATCTTCACACCTTCACACCTGCAGATCTAGATCTTCACACCTTCACACCTGCAGATCTAGATCTTCACACCCTCACATCTGCAGATCTAGATCTTCACACCCTCACATCTGCAGATCTACATCTTCACACCCTCACACCTGCAGATCTACATCTTCACACCCTCACACCTGCTGATCTACATCTTCACACCCTCACACCTGCAGATCTAGATCTTCACACCCTCACATCTGCAGATCTAGATCTTCACACCCTCACATCTGCAGATCTAGATCTTCACACCCTCACACCTGCAGATCTACATCTTCTCACCTTCACACCTGCAGATCTAGATCTTCACATCTGCAGATCTCCTCTCGCTCTTCTCTATTCTCTCTTAAGGCGGGGGCGGTGCCGCCGGAGCGCCACGAAACGCAACCCTTTCGCACGAAATGGACGTTGGACGTCCAAAACCTACGTAAAATTGCGATTTTGAAGCGTCCCCGGCAACCCTTTCGCACGAAATGGACGTTGGACGTCAAAAACTGAGGAAAAATTGCGACTTTGAAGCGTCCGGCGCAACCCTTTCGCACGAAATGGACGTTGGACGTCAAAAACTGATGAAAAATTGCGACTTTGAGGTGTCCCGCGCAACCCTTTCGCACGAAATGGACGTTAGACGTCAAAAACTGAGGAAAAATTGCGACTTTGAAGCGTCCCGCGCAACCCTTTCGCACGAAATGGACGTTGGATGTCAAAAACTGAGGAAAAATTGCGACTTTGAATTGTCAATCGCAACCGTTACACACGAAATGGACGTTGGACGTCAAAAACTGAAGAAAAATTGCGATTTTACTTGCTCAATCGTAACCCTTTCGCACAAAATGGACGTTGGACGTCAAAAACTGAGGAAAAATTGCGATTTTACTTAGTTAATCGTAACCCTTTTGCACGAAATGGACCTTGGACGTCAAAAACTGAGGAAAAATTGCGTTGGACGCTTTCGTTTCTGTACAAGTGTGTGTGTGTGTAAAAGCGTTTGTGTGTGAAAGCGTGTCTGCCTGTGTAAAAAGCATCTGCGTGTAAAAGCGTTTGTGTGTAAAAGCGTCTGTGTGTAAACGCGTCTGTGTGTAAAAGCGTTTGTGTGTGAACGCGTCTGTGTGTAAAAGCGTTTGTGTGTGAAAGCGCGTGTGCGTGTGTAAAACGCATCTGCGCGTAAAAGAACTGAGGAAAAATTGCGACTTTGAGGTGTCCCGCGCAACCCTTTCGCACGAAATGGACGTTGGACGTCAAAAACTGAGGAAAAATTGCGACTTTGAAGCGTCCCGCGCAACCCTTTCGCACGAAATGGACGTTGGACGTCAAAAACTGAGGAAAAAATGCGACTTTGAAGCGTCCCGCGCAACCCTTTCGCACGAAATGGACGTTGGACGTCAAAAACTTAAGAAAAAATGCGATTTTTCTTAGTCAATCGCAACGCTTTCGTCTGTGTAAAAGTGTCTGTGTGTAAAAGCCTCTCTATGTAAAAGCTTCTGTGTGTAAGAGCGTCTGTGTGTAAAAGCATCTGTGTGTAAAAGCGTCTGTGTGTAAAAAGCGTCTGTGTGTAAAAGCGTCTGTGTGTAAAAGCGCCTGTGTGTAAAAGCTTCTGTTTGTAAAAGCCTCTGTGTGTAAGAGCTTCTGTGTGTAAAAGCCTCTGTGTGTGAAAGTGTTTGTGTGCAAGAGCGTCTGTGTGTAAAAGCGTCTGTGTGTAAAAGCGTCTGTGTGTAAAAGCTTCTGTGTGTAAAAGCGTCTGTGTGTAAAAGGGTCTGTGTGTAAAAGCGTCTGTGTGTAAAAGCGTTTGTGTAAAAGTGTCTGTGTAAAAGTGTCTGTGTAAAAGTGTTTGTGTGCAAAAGCGTCTGTGTGTAAAAGCGTCTGTGTGTAAAAGCCTCTGTGTAGTAGCCTCTGTGTGTGAAAGTGTGTGTGTGTGTAAGTGTGTGTGTGTGTAAAAGCGTCTGTGTGCAAAAAGCGTCTGCGTGTAAAAGCGTCTGTGTGTAAAATTGTCTGTGTGTAAAAGGGTCTGTGTGTAAAAGCGTCTGTGTGTAAAAGCGTCTGTGTGTAAAATCGTCTGTGTGTAAAAGCGTTTGTGTGTAAAAGCGTCTAAAAGCGCCTGTGTGTAAAAGCTTCTGTGTGTAAAAGTTTCTGTGTGTAAAAGCGTCTGTGTGTAAAGGAGTCTGTGTGTAAAAGCTTCTGTGTAAGAGCGTCTGTGTGTAAAAGCTTCTGTGTGTAACAGCTTCTTTGTGTAAAAGTGTCTGTGTGTAAAAGTGTCTGTGTGTAAAAGGGTCTGTGTGTAAAAGCGTCTGTGAGTAAAAGCGTCTGTGTGTAAAAGCGTCTGTGTGTAAAAGCGTCTGTGTGTAAAAGCGTCTGTGTGTAAAAGTGTCTGTGTGTAAAAGCGTCTGTGTGTAAAAGCTTCTGTGTGTAAAAGCCCCTGTGTGTAGAAAGCGTCTGTGTGTAAAAGCGTCTGTGTGTAAAAGCGTCTGTGTGTAAAAGCTTCTGTGTGTAAAAGCGTCTGTGTGTAAAGGAGTCTATGTGTAAAAGCGCCTGTGTGTAAAAGCTTCTGTGTGTAAAAGCGTTTGTGTGTAAAAGCGTCTGTGTGTAAAAGCGTTTGTGTGTAAAAGCGTCTGTGTGTAAAGGAGTCTGTGTGTAAAAGCTTCTGTGTAAAAGCTTCTGTGTGTAAAAGCGTCTGTGTGTAAAGGAGTCTGTGTGTAAAAGCTTCTGTGTGTAAAAGCGTCTTTGTGTAAAAGCGTTTGTGTGTAAAAGCGTCTGTGTGTAAAAGCCTCTGTGTGTGAAAGTGTGTGTGTGTGTACAAGAAAAGCGTGTGTATGTGTGTGTGTGGGTGTAAAAGCTTCTGTGTGTAAAAGTCTCTGTGTAAGCGTCTGTGTGTAAAAGCCTCTGTGTGTGAAAGTGTGTGTGTGTGTAAAATAAAAGCGTGTGTGTGTGTGTTTGTGTGTAAAAGCTTCTGTGGGTAAAAGTGTCTGTGTGTAAAAGTGTCTGTGTGTAAAAGCCTCTGTGTGTAAAAGCCTCTGTGTGTAAAAGCCTCTGTGTGTAAAAGCGTCTGTGTGTAAAAGCGTTTGTGTGTGAAAGTGTGTGTGTGTGTGTAAAAGCATCTGCGTGTAAACGCGTTTGTGTGTAAAAGCCTCTATGACACAGGTTATTTCATTTTATTATGGAAAATCCCACATAAATGGCCCAAAAAAGGTCGGTACCATGATGCCGTGCATGACACATGTTATTTCATTTTATTATGGAAAATCCCACATAAATGGCCCAAAAAGATCGGTCCCATGATGCTGTAAATCACACATGTGACAAGACTTCACTAGTGAAATGTCTGCAAACGTTTGCACAAAAAGAGGTCCAATACCATAATGCAGTAAATGACACGCGTTATCTCATTTTATTCTGGGAATATCCCACAGAAACTATCAAAAAAGCTCGGTACCATGATGCCGTGTATGACACATGTCATTTCATTTTAGTATGGAAAATCCCACATAAATGGCCCAAAAAAGCTCGGTACCATGATGCTGCGTATGACACATGTTATTTCATTTTAGTATGGAAAATCCCACATAAATGGCCCAAAAAAGCTCGGTACCGTGATGCTGCGTATGACACATGTGACAATACTTCACTAGTGAAATGTCTGCAAACGTTTGCAACAGAGCTCGATGCCATCATGTGCTTGATGTCAAAAACAGAACAGTTTGAGTTCAGGACCATAAAATGTCATATAGAGACACTCTTCAAAAGCTTCTGTGTGTAAAAACCTCTGTGTATGAAAGTGTGTGTGTGTGTGTAAAAGCATCTGCGTGTAAAAGCCTCTGTGTGTAAAAGCGTCTGTGTGTAAAAGGGTCTGTGTGTAAAAGGGTCTGTGTGTAAAAGCGTTTGTGTGTAAAAGTGTCTGTGTGTAAAAGCTTCTGTGTGTAAAAGCATCTGCGTGTAAAAGCTTCTGTGTGTAAAAGCGTCTGCGTGTAAAAGTGTCTGTGTGTAAAAGCTTCTGTCTGTAAAAGCGTCTGTGTGTAAAAGTCTCTTTGTAAAGGTCTGTGTGTAAAAGCTTCTGTGTAAGAGCGTCTGCGTGTAAAAGTGTCTGTGTGTAAAAGCGTCTGTGTGTAAAAGTCTCTGTGTGTAAACGCGTCTGAAAGTGTTTGTGTGTAAAAGCGTCTGTGTGTAATTTCACAACTTTCCCCTCCATAGCTCATATCAAATTCACCAACCATTCACCGACTATTTTTTACGACTACCATACTCAGAGCTGCTTGAAGGACGTGTTTTTCGCTCTCGGGCCAACCGTCGTCTAGTCTTCTACTCATTTTTATGGCCATTTAAATATGTTTAAATGATTTTAATGGGAGAATTACTAGTACTCCAGTGGAATGCTTCAAGATGCTGATGGTCCCCTTCAGCAACTCCAGGAACGATCCCGTTGTCGTGGCCAAGCGGCGCTGGAACGACGCGTGTTGCCGCGGGAACGGCGGTGGCCATGGCAGACTTTCGGGTGACTCGGTGGTACTCGACCGGCTGGGAATTGGTGCAGGGAATCATACCCAAAGGTCCAATATTTAACTGGTTTACATCACTGATTGAAATGGATTGTAAATGGATTGTAAATGGATTGTAAATGGATTGTAAATGGGTTGTAAATGGATTCAATAATATATATATATGTATATATATATGTATATATATATATATACTGGTACAATCTCAGGAACCGATTGATTGGAGGTACCTACCATATATAAGGCCTATTTTTCAGGCCTATGTAAGAGGATATACCCCACAAAATATGGCCTGAAAAATGGTACTAACGTACCTCCATTTTAGGATCCTGAAATTCCCATGGATTACATCACTGATTGAAATGGTTTGTTAATGGGATAATCATGGGATAATAATGGGAAAATCATCTATTGAATGGGATATTCTAACTATATATATCTGGTTGCTGGTTTCAAACATGACTTTTATTTTCCATCATATGAATGGATAATCTTTCCCATGGACGAACTCATATTTTTCAAGATGGTTGAAACCACCAACCAGCCAACATTTTAGCCATTTTCAGGTTCGTGAATGGATTGTAATTCAGCCAGATATGATGGGGAAATGATGATTGACCTTATTTCAATTATATAACCGCTCCTTTCTTGCAAGGAGGGGGGCCAAAGAGAAGATCAGTGGCCCAACATTTCAGTGATGTTCAGGTAATTGGGGTATGATATAGTCGAATTCAGCCAGATATATCTACCTGGGGGTGAGGCTTCCACTAATTTTCTGGGTGATATTGCACCATAGTTGTAGGGGCCCCATATCCCTAACTTGTGGAGGTTAAAACCCCACATACCAACAACCCCAACTGCACCTGCAAGTAACGGGATTCAACGATCAGTTTCCCATAAAATTTAACGATATTTTTCCATGATTTAGTGGCGATTTGATCGGATTTCACCCTGGATAGAATGGGGATACAGTGGGGATAGAGCAATAAAAGGGATTCTGGATTATTAAATTTTAACCATTATGAAGGTCTAGACATAACACCTTGGTATTAATGCATGTTGGGTCATCCCCATGTTTTCAGGATAACAACTTGCCCAAATGCACAAAAACACAACATACATGGATGATACGTTTTTTCAGTATCGTTGTGACAATCAACCTCCAAAAATGGACAGTGTGGTCCTAACAAAAACAACACTTGTGTGTGTGTGTGCCCATTGAGCAATAACCACAATTATTGCAAACAATGAGAGGCATTGAGTTTATACACCTCAAAAACATGTTGGATCTATTGATGGTTACCCTAAAGTCGGATGTTTCAAGATATGGAGCGTGATCAGCATGTGTGTCTTTTTTCTTCGGTGTTGCTCCATACCAGCCAACTGAACCGCATGAGCTCAAAAACATGGGTTTTCATAGCCATGCAATCATGGAACCTACCGCTAAATATGAAGGCAACAGCCAGTTGCATGGATGGTTTGAATGACACCATTTCAATCCAGGTTCTCCGTCCCTTGAACACTGCATCATGAACATGCATTGGACCCTCTGGTTATTTAACATAGCCATGGAAAGATCCACCATTTTTGATAGGTAAACCATCTATAAATGGGCCATCTATACCATGGCTATGTTAAATAACCAGAGGGTAAATCTGAAATTGGTTCAGGGAATTACTGAATTAGTTAATTTTCTTGACGAAACAGTCACCGGGATGGGCAAAGATTTGGCGCACAACCCTAGGAGATTTTTTAATTTGGGATGCATCCTGCCTGTGATCATGATGACATTTGGCGAAACAAAAAACACATGTTATGGGTTGAAACCGACAAGAAGGCCATCTTTCTAACCCATTAATCTCATCAAGGCCATCCGTATTGTTGATGATTGAACCACCATTTTGCCCAATCATTTGCCCTAGTTCAGTCACCTTTTTTGAATGATTTAAGTCACCAGTTTTCATTGATTCTCCCTGGAGCAAAGTGTTCAAACCATCCAAGGCCCAAGGTGTTCCACACTCTGCCAGGTGACCAGTGGTACGAACTGCAAGCACATCGTGCAGTCAATCAGGCGCTTTTTTTTTTGGGCCTCATGGTTTGTGGAGTAGACTCAACTAGGGAAATGGTGATATAACATGATATAACTAGGGAAAATGGGGAAAATGATGGTTTAACCATCAGCAATGGGGGATGTTTGAAGTTTTTTTTTTTTCCCGGGTTTCTGTCGGATTTCATGGCGCCTCATGTTTTTTGTGGGTGGCTATGGCTGGATCTGAGGCTCTTGGCCGTTTGCTGCGCCACAGCGGAGACTATGGCGCTTTGAACCTTGGCGGCGTTAGGTTACACGCCGTGGGGATGTTTTTTAACGGGGAGGAGTGATATGGGATGTTCATGGGAGTCTTAAATGGGATTTCATAGGGATTATTGGGATTTAAGATGATATTCAGCAGCAAACATGGTGATTTGATCGGGGTTTAAAGACTTTAAAGTGTGTTCATTCATGGGATTTTCCATGAGAGATCATGGAAACTGAGTGGGACATCACTTTTTAGGTTCCCGAGTTGCTGTAAGATACAGTCTATCTCACTCAATCCCATATAATCCCCATATAATCCCCATGAAATCCCCATTGAATACCATTTAATATGAAATCTCCATAGTAAAGAAAGTTCGTTAATGATTGATTGCATCTGTCTTTCGGGATGGGCAAAAAGCCAGTGCTATCGTTGACATGTTCCACAGTCGGAGCAAGTCCCGCTGGTGACGATCTCAGAACAAACCTGAAATGTTAAGGTAATTGGGTTACCCTGTGGTAAAACTAACATAACTATGGAAAATCACCATGTTTAATGGGTAATTCAACTATTTCTATGGTCATTTTCGCTATTTTGACATAACCAGAGGGCATTCATGGTGATATTTCATGGGGGTGAATTGGGATGAAACCAGCCGAAATGGAGCTTTTATCAACACCATTTTTAGGGTATACTGGGAGCGAAAAATAGATGCCAGCGAGGTGGTGTTGAAGAAAAAATGTGCGATCGGATAGGTTTATTAATCAACAAACATAAGCGGGTTTGTCTGAAGTTTTTGGCACCCCCAATTCCAAGGGTTTTTCATCATTTTCCATATTTTTCCTATAAAACATGGAGAACACGGCCTATTATATTGCGTGTATATATATATAATATATATTATATATTATATATTATATATATATATATGTTTGAACTGGTTTAATGTGGACTCCAAATTGGGGTTTTACATTGAGCATACCCCCACAACTGGGACGATGTAAAAACTCCCAAAACTCTATAAAGAGACGGTACTGTTCACTGGGAAAGATGAGGGATGTTAGCTTTTTGCCCAATGTAAATGAAGATTGGGTCCCTGGGTAGATATCCCTGAGAGATCGAGTGATTCGTCGGAATTTCACGAAAATCAGCTCTTCATTGCTGATATGACTGATGACTGGATTGATTGAATCTGAAAAATGAAGAATCATCTTGCAGGAAGGGGACACCCAGAATATTGGTTGGTTTATGCATGTTTATGCTACCATCTACTGTAATTATAGAGATTTCCACCATAGATCCCAGTATCCTGATAGACTAGTTATAAAATGTTATAAACCAACTTGCCTATCATAAGGTTGTTTTTCCGTGATCGTGGATTTGTCATCGTCATGACACATCGCTTAACATTATTCCCTCTATCCGCAGAAATGTGGAAAGCTATCAGTCCTTTTAAGGGACCCGACAGAAAACATATATGACCGGACCAGCCCTCTCCTAGTTCATATCCTAACTTAACATCTCTCAAACGGTTGTAAAAAACCATTTGTGCTGCATTGCTGAATTGATTGCTGCCAAAACCGACATGTGTGCTGGTAAATTATCGCATTTTGTTAGTAGTACCGTTGATGAAAATCATGTGTTTGCGTCGAATCCCCATTCATTCCGAGTAATTCATTCCCTCTTATCTTAAATCCCACCCTAGAAACCTTATAGTAGTATTTCATCATGTGTTGTCGATTCATTTTGGGGTCCCTTAGCGGGAGGTATCGAATACTAGGGGTTCCAATCCAACAGTTCAACTTGATAGAACCAGATGCCCCAAAGCCTTCTACCATCATAACTGGGCGAATAAACTATGCTTTACGTGGGATATTAAGTGTACTGTAGTATTATGTAGTATTCATGGGGTGAAACTAAACCAACAAAAAAACAATGTTTGGGGTCACACACCTTGTAATGACATATAATCATCATATATAATTAACAAAAACCTTATAATAAGTAATAGGCACATACAATCGCAATAATTGGTTATATACACAGTCTACCCTCTGGTAATTTAACATAGCTATTGAAAATGACCCATTTATAGTTGATTTACCTATTCAAGATGGTGATTTTCCATAGTTTTTTTGTTAGTTTACCAGGCCGGGTATTTCCCCGCAGCGTAAACGGGTGGCCAGAGGGTACCGTTCACTCGCCGAGGATTCTTCTGGACGCTCGTTGGGCCCGACGTGGCCAGAAATCACGCAACCTCCGGGCGAAGCTGAGTGGCTGGCCGCTGGGCCGCCAATCGTTTGGGTGGCAGGCCTGGCCAATTCTTGGAAATACCATATATTTTTGGCCTATTTGTTTGGCCTAAATTTCAGGGAATATCACCAGAAAATATGGCCTTATAATTACCTCCATTTGAAGATCCTGAGATTCCCATGATTAGTTTGGGGATTTATACCCTTGCTGGTTGGTGGTTTAGAACATTTTTTGTTTTCCATATTTTAGGATGATCCTTCCCATTGATTTTCATATTTTTCAAGATGGTTGAAACCACCAACCAGTCATATAATTCCAATAATTGGGTGCATCATGTTACTATAATATATATATATATCATATATCATATATATATATGGCTACATAATGTTATGTACATACTATATATATATATATGACCACTGAATGGAATAATTATGCCGATTGCTTATATGTGATCATAATTATATTTAATTTATATGTAATTTTCCCAGTTGATATATGTTTATAGTAAGTATTGGCTTATTTATACGTTTATACTATCATCTACTATTTATAATTACAATACTATTGATATAGAAATGATTGGGTTAATTGATAGGAATAAGATAATAGTTAATATAATAGTTAATATAATAGTACATATTAATATCTTAGGGTTTATATTTTTTTTTGGGCTACTAATACTATTAAGCCAATTATATTGACGCAAGCACTACTATAAACATATACCTATACATATTAATATAGATACAAATGATAAACATATAGATCATAGTTTTCTGACAAACCATTATCGTTGCAGCATACCGCCCATCGTAATACCCTAGGCATTTCAGAAATAGCCATTGTCAATTGTTACTGTAGTTGACATACCCGTACATATCCTACACATATCACCAGATACCATTAAAATCCATTAAGTATACAGTATCATATTCATGCAATTTTGGGACCTCCTTGTCAATAGATGGGGGGCCATTCCCACTAGTGGTCAGAGATCCAGTAGAAACATCCAGATCAGTGGTTTAATTTCCCTTTTCCTAGGTGAGGCTCCTCAGTTCTTTTTTGCTTGATAAAGCCCATTAAGTAATATTAACTGCTTGGTGGTTTGGAACATTTTTTATTTTTACATATATTGGGAATAATCATCCCAACTGATTTTGATATTTTTCAGAGGGGTTGAAACCACCAACCAGATACTTATATTCCCCATAAGCCATCGAATTCACCAAAAAAGTGAACGACAGCGCCCCACCAGCCATACTGAACCATACGTGGTATCGTTGGGCGTCATCGATTTCCGATTTCGTTTCAACACGGGGGCCCGCACGCACCTTTTGAGTGGTCCGTCCGGAGAGTGCTGGAAAAGCAAGGGGCCAATTTTGAAATAGAAAACCGTAAGAAACCTCGCCTACTATAGATGTAGGCTTTGAATAGTAAACCTCTTCTGTAGTAAACCTTATCTTAACCAATAGATAGTGTAACATATAGTAAACCTTATCTTAACTAATATTATAAACTATGGTTTTCTATAGATAGTGGATCCTTGTAACATATTGTAGCCTTTTCTTTTGCATCACCAAGGATCCAACGTCACCTTGTGGATTGGCCGCGTCTTGACCGACTCAGCGATTTGGAGGGAGCCGAAAGGCTGGTATTTTTTGCTGACCATTCGCCTCGGGGTTGGGAACATGGTTGGGAACACTAATCAATGGGAATTTCAGGATCCTAAGTTGGAGGTACCTACCATATATAATGCCTATTTTTTAGGACTGTGTAAGGGGATATACCGTACCCCCAAAATATGGTCTTATATGGTACTAACGTACCTCCATTTTAGGATCCTGAAATTCCCATCTCCATAAATCGCAATTTTTGTGCCCCTGGTCGCGAGACTCAACGGGACTCGACTCTTTCACGGGATTTGCTGAGTCGATATGAGGAAAGTTGCGCTGATTTTTTTGCAAAGCCACGAGTTCAATGGGGAATGGATAATCGATAAGTGCTGGTTGGGATAATCGATAATATATAATAACCACAATATATGGGATCATATAAAAAATGTTGGGATTATCCCATTATTTCCATTATTGGTGGTTTCAAACATGACTTTTATTTTCCATCATAAACATATGGGATAATCCTTCCGACGAACTCATATTTTTCAGAGGGGTATACCACCAACCAGAGTGGAATACAGACTTTCTGAATGTTTTTTCCTTAAGCAAATCCAAGATAGCTTTAAAAGTGTCCCTTCCTCCAATCCTTAGAAAGAAGGTGGTCATGGGTGAAAATCTGTCGAAACCCTGGTACGATCTCAATATTTGGTCGAAATTCGATGTTCATCCGAACTGCAGGTCATGGTCCCGTCCCCATATTCCCATTTCGCATGATTGACGACATATTAAAAACCACTGTTGTGTTCTGGAAAGTTGCAAAATTTTCTCGAGAACACTTGAATATGTGTTAATTATACAATGTTTATATCAATATAGATCAATATAGACATTATATATATATATTATATATATTATATATATAATGTATATAAATATATTATGTATATATATATATCTTGATACATATTCATATTGTTACTTATTGGATTCCATTTTGCTCCAAACCACCCTCTCTTTATGGTCGAAACCGTCGGCCGCGCCCCAGGTGCAGTGCCAGCGGGCTCTCTGGCAACGTCTTTGGCCGCCTGAAGAAACACTTCGAAGACGCAGCGAGGCGCTGAACGCGGTCCGTTCAGGTGGATGAAACGTGCGAAGATTCGAAGATTCGTTGGATTTTGTATGGCTTTTTGGTGAATTTTTGTGGATTTTTATGGATGTTTATAGTGTATAGATTTTTATGAATGTGTATTTGTTTTTTTCGTGAATTTTATGGTATTTTTATGGTTTTTAATGGATGTTTATGGAGGTTTTTTTTTGAGATTTTTATGGATTTTTGGTGAATGGTTTTTGATGTAAAGATACAGAAGTTAGAGAAAGCAATATGAAAAACTATGGTAACTTAAATGGATAGTGAATAGTGTATATAATATACTTAAGGAGTGATTTGTGGTTTCGAAACTAATATATTAAAACATCGATATTTGATGAGAATCTTAATCATTCACAGTCCATTGATAATCCATTGATATCCAAAACATGTGTTTTCCAACGGAGTTGTGCGATGTGTTTGATCCCACTGATGGTTTCAAACAAGTTTTCCACAAAGGCAGGTAGTAAAGTGAGAATAGCCAATGAAATTGGCTGATAGATCTATACCACATGTTGGCAGTACATATTTTCAAATTATCTTATACCATTGTATTATGTATATACATATGTAACTATATACATAAATACATACATACATACATACAGACAGACAGACATACATACATTCATACATAGATACATAGATACATAGATAGATAGATAGATAGATAGACAGATAGATAGATAGATACTGGTAGATACTGGTAGATACTGGTAGATAGATAGATAGATAGATAGATAGATACTTACATACATACATGCATACATGCATACATACTTACATACTTACATACATACATACATAAATAAATACATCCATACATCCATACATCCATACATCCATACATCCATCCATCCATCCATACATACATACAAACAAATGTGGATTGGAAAACAATGAAAAGATATGACACCAAGATTTCATGCCTTTGTACTTGGAATAGTATGGTACTATAATTCCTTCAACATATTTCAACATAGTGTGGATGGAAGAAATCCTGCACCACCAAAAGGATGGTTGAAACCCTAAAAATAATGGGATAAACCTCCTATCAACTGGTGATTCGGATTTCTCAACCATCCACAGTATTGGTTGACATATATATGTTCATACTTGAGGGTGCACTTCCACTTCATTACTTCACCTTTTTACCTTCAAGTGAATATAACCAAAAAAGGATAGATCATTTGGAGATCATGTTTCATGGTATCGGTATCCAACAAAATACCCGCCTATTGACATATCCCACTATCATATATATATAAGTACATATCTCACTATTATCCCATTGTATATCCCCCATCAATGGGTGCTTAAATTCCTACTACTATTTTAATTGCATATATATATATATGTGTGTGTGTCCCAATGTTCTTCGTGAAATCACCGTTTTGGCTGGTGAAATCAAACCCTCACTACCCACTATTGTTGCTTATATATCCAATCAAATTCTCAATATATCACGTTATATCCCAATAAATGGTTGGTCAAACCACCATGAAAATCCTACTACCAATGGCATGCAATGTTCGTTATATCATTGTATCCCATTAAATACCATGAAAAATGCCACTGAATCACATCAAATCCGATGAACAGTCCATTAAAGCCCATAAACATATATCTGGGAAAATTATAACGACCTCACTGCGACCTCACTGGAATCATGGTTAGTAAGGGAAATCATCCCCAAATGGCCTTAATTCAGGTTAGTGAAATATTATAATTTACCCAGATATATAAATATTCCATTCAATCCCATTAAATCATCATTCTGTCACCACCAATCGCTTCACGTCCCCACCTCCACCGGAGGCGCCCGCTGCCGGCGTTGCCGCCGCCGCCACTGCCGGCGGTGCCGATGCCGCTGAGATGCGAGGTGCGGAGCCATGGCGGAACTGCGGCCCTTGGCTGGTGCAGAAATGGCGGAAATTTATCATGGGTCAAGGGAAAATCACCATTTTTAATGGGAAAATCACCATTTTTAATGGGAAAACTCACATTTTAATGGGTTTATAATGGGATTTTAATGGGTTTCTAATATCCGATGATTTTCGGATTAGGATATTGAGATAACTGGGTCCTGGAAATATCATGGGAGTTAACCGGGTTAACCATCTATAAAATCAGATTTTGAATGGGATAAAGGGATATTATTATGGGATAGAATAATGGGATACCTGGCTTTGTTTAGTCGGTCATGTTTAGGGTTTTCCCAATGGGAAGTCTACCGGGGAAGTCTACCATTTGGGGAATCTATAACTGGTTGGTGGTGACTGGAGCATGAATTTTATGACTTTCCCATCTTATTGGGAATGTCATCATCCCAACTGACGATATCATATTTTTCAGAGGGGTAGGGCTCAACCACCAACCAGATGGGGATTTATGCGGAAAATTGGGGATTGAACTTAAACACTAACAAACATGACGATTTAATATGATTTAATGGGAGTTCATTGGGATTTCTATGGGATTGCTATTGTGATATCATTTGATGTAATCAGCAATGATCAATGTAAGTGGATCATAGAACATTCACGGGGTTCTAATGGGATTTAGTTGGATTTAATGGTGAACGTGTCAAACTCTGCATTTTTGGAGTTTTTTTTCCCCTAAGGTTTCTCAAGGAAACATCTATGTCCACAAGCCTACCAGCATTTAGTCCATTTCGACAAGTTCAAATGGCATATCCAACAAGACCAAGTTAACTTACCATCTGGTTATTTAACAGTTCGCCATGGAAAATCATTATTTTTAAGTTCGGTAAACCATCTCTTTCTATGGGCCATCTATACCATGGCTATGTAACAAATGACCAGAGGGTATAGATTTATCGTAACACCAAAGATGGAAAAGTTATAGAATTGGATGGGAAATCTCACAGGAAACGTTCGCGGTATGAAAAATGGTAAAAACCACATGGGGAAACCGAAGATTTTCCCAACAAAACCCATATTTCATGGTGAAACACCATGGGATTTAATGGGATTTTGTGGTGGTTTTCCATAGGATCTAATGGGAATTTTAATGGCATCATGGCATACCAACCAATCCAATGTTTAGTGATCTATAAGATTATTATAACCCTTACCCGGCCTGGTAAACATACAAAAAACATCAAAAAACTATAGACAATCACCATGCTATTCATGGGTAAATCAACTATTTCTATGGCCATTTTCAGTAGCAAACTCTTAGTTTACCAGAGGGTATATCACTAAATTTCACTACATCCCATTAAACCCCATTAAACCCCATTAAACCAGAGGGTATCATAATCCAATCACATTCGTCCAATGACTTGGGGTCCAGGCAACGTCCGGCACGTCCGGCACCCCGCCGCCGAAGCGGCGCTTCGTGGACACGCTCACAGGGGTGCCTTGGTGGTGTTGGGTTGGGTGTGGGGATTGTGATCCAACTCAATATGTGTATATACATATAATATATATATATATAATTACATATATATATATATACACACATGTGTATATATGTATATATATGTTACATATACATATGTGTATATGTTACATATACATATGTGTGTATATATATACACATATACATATATATATAGAGAAAGTGTATATATATATATCCCTGTAGTAATAACTATATATATTGGAGACAATCACACATGTCCCCAGATAGAAGTTGGTAAAATCCACAAAATTCCATCTTTGGGGGGATGGCCATTGATGACTATGGCCACATTACCATATCGTGAACGATGGGTTTTCGAATAGAAAAAGGGTGAGTTTCTATAGCTATTTCTATGCTGCATTGAATGGAATCTCAAAGATTTGTTGAACACATGTTTATTTTACCAGTGGAAAATTCACTATTTGGGGAAGCTATTGGGAATAGCTCTTCTTTTTTGTGGTCCTCAGTAATTCAAATTACACCCTCAAGACTGCTCATAAAACTCACGGACCCTGAAATGGCAATGTCTACCATACGAAAATGCACAAAACCATGTTCCAAGGCAAATTTTGGCGGCTGTCACCCTGAGGGCTCAATGAAGCCAGCCCTGACTTTCATACGTCCCTTGGCCCTGGATTTTTTTTCGCTCGGCGGTGTGAATGTCACATGAGACCTCGGGTTGTTCCGGCCAATTATAGGCGGCAGATGATAGCCACAAGGAGTTTGCGTGTTTTTCGAATTTTACCTACAGGATGGGGCCCCCCAGTGATGTGAATGTTGGTTTATACCATAACAAAACCCATTAACTGTACTTATATCTACCATAAACCATAGTTAAACGACTTATAAGGCAACTGAACGCTATCTTGGGGGCCCCATCCTGTAAAATTACCCATGATTTACCAATTTAGCATTATTTACCCATTATTTACCATTTAAAGTGGGTAATGGCATATGTATATTTATCCAATTTACCATTATTTACCCCTTTCCGAAAGATTACTTTTTGGGGATGAAACATCTTGAACATGGACCCGGCCGAAATCGGTATCATTCCGAAGCTAGTGGAAGCTTCCGAAAAGATGGAGTAGCCAATGGTCAATGGGAATTTCAGGAACCTAAATTGGAGGTACCTACCATATATAAGGCCTATATAAGGCCTATGTGAAGGAATATCCCCACAAAATATGACCTTATATGGTACAGTACCTCCATTTTAGGATCCTGGAATTCCCATTGAAATGGTTTTGGGCACCCTCATTTTGAGAACCACTCACATCATATATCGTCCTTTCTTACTCAAATATGGCTTGAAAATCCAAGTTGCACCCACGTTCCACGAAGTTTCTATTAAAGATGGAGGTTTGAATTGCTATCTCTGGGTACAAGAGGGTCGCAGATATTTGGGGTCGACCAGATTCCAGATCGTCCATGCTGACTTGTTTGCTGTTTGTTGGTTCATCCAGATCTTTGTTTCTCCGTGTTTTTTTCGATATGTGTTGGTGAAAAGATCTTTGCCAAAGTGAAAAATCACCAGATTTGCTGAAACTGACCCCAGTTCATTGATTCATGTTGCTTAAATCCACATGGGGATATGGGTCAAGATACGGCACTTTTCGATTCCATGCCGAAACACTGTTAAAAATGGGATTATCATGGGATATCATGGGATAAACCATCTACAAACTGGTGATTCGGATTTCGCTTCCATCCACAGTATGGACATTTTTTTTGCGTGCATCCCAGTGGATGCAAGTGGCTACTGTAACAACATTTTTTTATTTGGAAGATCCCTAGTTGTATTGTGGCTTATAAACCATTTAATACAATATGTGTATATATACACAATAAAACTCAACGTTACATCAATATGCCATACTACCATGATCATGATGCTGCTAATAATGTTCCGTATCAAAATTCAATATTTGTAACACTAGTTGGTCTCATATTTTTCATAGAATCACGTTTCCACAAGTTGCCATATTATCATGCCATAACAAACATACATCCAACACAAAAAAAGTACTAGATGATTTCATGATAAACAATCCATGTTGTTCCAAGAACAAGTCCATATCATCCAAGGGTCCAGTTTCCAACAGTATACCCTCTGGTAAACATACAAAAAACTATGGAACATCACCATTTTTTATGGGCAAATCCACTATAAATGGCCATGTTCAATAGCTATTTTGACATAACCAGAGGGTAAATTTCCATATGATCCATTTTATTGATCCATTTTCTGGGTTTCCAGTGTTCACATCAAGTTACCAGTTCACTGGTTCGTGGTTTGGAACATGTTTTATTTTCCCCAATAGTTGGGATGATGATCCAATCTGACTCATATTTTTCAGGGGGGTTGGGCTCAACCACCAATTAGAAAAGTTTTCTTATCATTGATCAATTTTCTGGGTTTCCAACTTGGTGTTCACATCAAGTTTCCAAGAGTTCTTATCATTATTGTTCATAATTAATCCCAAAGTAGTTAACCCCATTAGCAATTAGACAATTGTGGGTTTCCAAAAGTTCATAATCAGCAATCCAATTAGACTTCCGAAAGTAGTTAACCCCATGAAAACATCCCCAACCTTGGATGGGTAGTTCAATCATGTAGTTTTTGCGATTTTTTTTTCTGAAAAAAAACACCAGCAAAAGATGAGAATTTTCTACTGCCAAAGAGTGACCATGTTTTCAAATCCCATATTCCCACATCATCATCCCATATTTCAGGTCCAGCTAAGCCAATCCCCAGCGAAATTCGAACCAGGTATGGAGTCCACATGGTCTCCGGCACTTCCACTAGCGTCCAGCCAGTCGAATAGTGAAATCCAAGGGTAAAGACAGCACGTGAGCTGTTGATATCACATCTGGGTAAACAAATCCTTCTGGATAAAGAGAAATGATTTTGAATGTAAGCAACAGAAATGGTCGTATAATGTGGATTTATGGGATTTGATGATGATTCAATGGGATTTAGCAGCAAAAATGGTGATTCTAAGGGATCTTATATATATGAAGTATTCATAGAAAGTAAAAAAAAGGGAATTTGTGGGACATTCTTGGGGTCACCTGGCTCAACGACTCCTTTTGGATGGTATTATGCAATTTCATGGGTTTTTTTCATAAGGATTTACTGAGGATTTCTAGCTCCGTTCGAACGGTTGGAAATGATTTGACTAGGGGTAACTATCCTCAAATATCCGGAGATTTACCCCTACTATGGTTTAAACAGTAACAAATAGCTATCCAGTTATCTGGGGTAACTCTGGTTAATGATGATTAATGGACTTTAATTTTGTTTATCCCATATAAAATCCCATATAAGTTCCCATATAAGATCCAGTTTTGTATCCCATAGGTTATCCAGAAAATTTCTGGCTTCCCAAAAACTCTTTCAGCAACTGGAACTGGGTTGACCATGGTTGACCTTTTTTTTTCCTACTCGGAAAAAACTTTACCCTTTGGTAAACTAACATAGCTATTAAACGTGACCCATAGACATAGTGGATTTACCCATTGAAAATGGTGATTTTCCATAGTTATGTTAGTTTACCAGAGGGTATGATTTAGAGTGTATCCAGATTGTAGTGAAACCTTAGTTGGATATGTTTCCATTCTCTAAGTTCGTCCGGGTGAATGATAGCAGATTTTTAGTTGACGGATGTTTGGTGAGTTATGAGCCATCAGCTTTTGGGCTACGCCATGTTACAAGCCAGATATATCCAAATTGATAAAACAGCCTTGGTGGTATCTTTAAATTATAAAAGTAAATGGGATCCACATTTTTGAAATCCGTCTATGATATAATAGCCAAATAGTAATAGGTGAAAATGCCCATCCATGATCCGTTAAATCCAAATAGCCATCTACTTTGCTGAATATTGGTACCCTCCAAACATGGACGCAACATTATAAAGTAATAGCACCCTTACTGGACCGCTGGTTACATGCATACATGCCCCTTAGGCACCCATGAATGAGCAGATTCAAGAACCCAAGTTGGTTGATGATTAACTATATATAGGGGACTATGCATGATCATACTATCCAACATATTGCGGATGGTCAAATTACCTCATTTTTTCCCGTTAAGTAATCATTATGAGGATCTTTCCAAGGGTGTTCAACACTGCTCACACGATGTTTTTTCCCCAATGGGGGCGTTGCCTCGGATTTTCGTTGTCGCTCGCATAGTTTTTTTCTAGAGTGAAGCACAACAGAACTTTGCTGAGAACAAAGATCTTCAGGCTTTTGAAGCGTTGGCCAGTTGAAATAAGATTACTCTCTGGTAAACTAACAGCTTGCGACATGACCCATAGACATAGTTGATTTACCCATTAAAAATGGTGATTTTCCAAAGTTATGTCGGTTTACCAGAGGGTAAATAGGCAGATGTTTCCCGTCAAATCGCAAAATTGCTAACGCCGTGGCCTGGGGACTGCGGGTGGGGCGTCTGAGGGACTATAGCTAGTCTGGAAGAATGATGCAGAACTTGGAGTCGAATATTGGAACAAGTTTTGACAAGAATTGATTAGCAAATTCAATAAATTACTTAAAATATCTCAAAATTAACCAACATGCAACCAATTTGTTTCAAATCTGCCAAATTGAGCATTTAGCCAATTTTAACCAAATTTAACCAATTTTAACCCATTTTATCCAATTTTAACCAAATGTTAATCGAATTTAACGAAAATTGTTTTCCCGAAACCCAGATATGTCCAGCCACTCCCAACATTTGGGTCGACAGCTTTGTCCCAAGCTCAGCAATTCTCGGTTGCGCAGCTTTGAAACTATGCCTCTTGGCTTTTCACTGAGCATTGCTGTTTCGTTAGCTCGTTCTCTGGGCGGGGGGTGCCACAGATGATGCAGAATTATGGCAGGGAGGTGTTCAATTGTCGCCCTGTGGGTGTTGGTGAATAGATGCCATCAAATAGCACGTCCTCACTGGGTGCACAAGGCCACTCCATCGGCTGAACTTCAAGCAGAAGACTGGACCTGAGCTCATGCCGCCTCATGCTGGGGGGCACTTAGGGAGGGGCAGTGAAGTGGTTTCATTTGATTTATTCTTCTGGTATGCTGCTCTTGAGGCCGAGGCGGTTCCGGGTCACAGGCAAGCAGCCCAAGGAGCGAAACGACATGAGAGAAGGTGCTTGTTGGAGTAAAGTGCCGCGGCCCCTGAGTTTCCAGGATGCCTCGGCTCCACTTCTTCCGAAGAAAAACTGTTCACCACTTCGTTTCCCATCCTCAAAGTCACATGGTAGTTCAGGGTATCATTAAAACAGTGGTTGGCAATGGACTTCACCGCACGATGTTTGCGTTCAGGGCAGAAACAACTCAGGTTCACCTTGAACTCTTAAAGGTGCTCGGAAATGTGATATAGCCAATGATATTTGGGTTTTGTACAATTTGAGTACAGGTCTACAAACAATCGGTTGTGTGCTTCAGTGATGACCTGAAGTTTGGGAGCCAATTCCACAGCATCATGATGTGTTAGAATACCCAAGATGTCAGCCATGTACCCCAAACAATCACAATGTTGAAGAAGTTTGCCGGGTGGCTGAAGCACAATGTTGTCAAAAAGTACCAAAATGGGAATTGATGTTAGAAGCTCACATGCAAAACATTTGATGTGGGATTTGTCCTCTGGGCTGTAGCGCTCTTCAAAAAACATTTTTGGAAGCTGGCCCCTCGACTTAGGCATGACCACTGCAGATGAAAAAGAATCGATTTGCTCCAACTTGATGCCAATGTCCTGAATAGCAGCCAGAAACCCATTGACTTCGTACTGGGCAACTCCGCCGCTAGCAACTAGAACGTGCATCCAATCGTACATGGTGTGCTGTGCCGGGCAAACTAGGTGTCTCAATGTTGGGTGCCACAAAGCCCCACTGGGTTCGTATTGCAGTCCATATAGTTGACCAGTTCTCTTCAACTCCTTTTTGTTGCCTGCACGCCTTTCTAAGCGGTATGATGCACTCGTGCGTCTTGCAAATTTTGTCCGGTCTGGACATGAATAGTGAACCAGCCACCTTCCATGTAAAGTGCCCCCACGGCAGGATCTCCGGAACCCGAGCCCACCTGAGGAAGAGGCCGGCGAAGGGTTGGGACGTGTTGGGTATTATTTTGTCGCAGTTTTTTTTGTTTTTTTCTTGTTTTTGATGTGCTTCTCACTGGCTTCTGTTGGTTGCTGCTTTTCTTGTCTTTTTGTCTTCTTGTCTTCTTGGCTTCTTGTCTTCTTGGCTTCTTGGCTTCTTGGCTTCTTGGCTTCTTGGCTTCTTGGCTTCTTGGCTTCTTGGCTTCTTGTCTTCTTGGCTTCTGGTCTTCTTGGCTTCTTGACTTCTTGGCTTCTTGGCTTTGTTGGCTTCAGTGGTTTCTTGGGCTGTTTTGGCTTCATTGATTTCAGTTGCTTGTTGGCTTCATTAGTTTCATTGCCTTCAGCTGCTTTTTGGCTTCATTGGCTTCTTTGGCTTTCTTGGCTTTTCTGGCTTCTTGGCATGTCGTCGGCTTCTTGGCTTCGGTAGTCTTGGCTTTCCTGGCTTCTTCGCTTCATTGGCTTCATTGGCTCTTTAGGTGTAGCCCCTATCAAACCATCAATGTATCATCAGTGTACTGTATCGGTTTAGTTTATCATTCCATCTGTCTATCAATCTATGCGTGTATTAGCGCATATTAGCGCGTTGACCTATCAACCTGTCAATCAATCAATCAATCAATCTGTCTATCTATCTAGCTATCAATCAATTAACCTATCTATCGATCGATCTATCTATTTATCATTTTTTATCATGAAAGCTAGCTATATATATATATATATATATATATATATCGTTGTATTTGTCTATTTGTTTAAATTGTGCAGCAAGCTATATATCTAGCTCGCTATGACCCAGCTAGCTACCTATCTATTTACTTATTTGTTTTATCTATCGGGGAATGATTTGTTTATCCAGCTATCGTCTATCTATACATCGATTGATCTATCAAGGTAGCTACTTATCTATTGTTTCATCTTGTTATTTATCCGTCCAGCTATCTATCTATGTATCTATCTATCAATCTATCTACCTACCTACCTATCTATCTCTCTCTCTATCTATCTATCTATCTATCTATCGATCTATCTATCGATCTATCTATCTATCTATCTATCTATCTATCTATCTATCTATCTATCTATCTATCTATCTATCTATCTATCTATCTATCTATCTATATCTCTCTCTCTCTCTCTCTCTATCTATCTATCTATCTATCTATCTATCTATCTATCTATCTAACAATCTATCTACCTACCTATCTATCTATCTATCTTTCTATCTATCTATCTAACTATCTATCTATCTATCTATCTATCGATCTATCCATCTATCCATCTATCCATCTATCCATCTATCCATCTACCTATCTACCTATCTACCTATCTATCTATCTATCTACCTAATCTATCTATCTATCTATCTATCTATCTATCTATCTATCTATCTATCTATCTATCTAACAATCTATCTATCTATCTATCTATCTATCTATCTATCTATCTATCTATCTATCTATCTATCTATCTATCTATCTATCTATCTATCTACCTCTCGACATCTATTTTATTCATGAATCTATCTACATGTCTTTTTATCACTTTATTTATCTATCTACCTATCTGTTCTATCTGTGTGTATGTTTTTCATGTATTATCTATCAAGGTAGCTATGGATCGGTCTTATTCACCCATCCAGCTATCAATCTATCTGTCTATCTTTTTTTTTGACCTACCTATCTGTCGATGTATTTATCAAGGTAGCTATGTATCTAATCATTTATCTTTCCAAATCCAGATATCTGTCTATCTATGTACCTATCT